TATAACTCCTGATATAATGAAGTAAATCCAAAAATCGTCCTACCAGTAGGGATGATTTTGACCACCCATTTATGGCACGATTGGCGATGGTTTATCATTGGGTTTACCACATGATGCCACTTACTGGCCAGGTATACCCTTTGGTAAACTAACATAGCAACCATTTTTCAATATTTTTCATATAAATCAACAAAATCAACCGAGAGTATGCGCATCTGATCTGGTATCATGCAGGTCCCCCCGGCCATAAGTTGGCTTATCACCCCCTGAACTATAGTTCTATCCCTCATAAATCAGAGTTCACCAAATTACGTGAGTGGACTTAGCTATCATAAATCATAGATATTATAGATCCCATGATATTCCCCATTTGAATCATTTTCGCCTTGGGAAATTTAGTTCAGTTCAGTTCACCCATTCCGCTTGCGCGGATTCCTGGCTCGGGCTCCACGGCTCGGCACGGCCTCAGGATTGCGGCTGCGCGTTCCATGCTCACCACGGGCGTTCTGGTCATTGCTGTGCCGCAGCCACGGCAGTGGACATGGACATAGCGGGGGGATGTTCACCTGAGATGCGGTCAAAATAAGCGGAGACTAAACGTCCCCCCCTCCCCTATTGATAAAACCTTCAGGTAGTTTTTATTGGGAGATGGACCCTAGTTTTTAGTATTTGGGGGACGTTTAGTAATAGGGGCAAAGGATTACTATGAGATAAGGGAGGGTCCAGTTACTTCAGTTGTGTCACCATGATGTTCACCTGGTTGGTGGTTTGGAACCATGGATTTTTATGACTTTCCATTCAGTTGGGAAAAATTGAATCCCAACCGACGAACTCACATTTTTTAGAGGGGTAGGTATACCACCAACCAGCCATGATGTTCACCATGGTACATACCCAACTTCTGGGGCCCTTGGGTCTGATGTTTAACGGAGGGATGTTTGTTTGGCGTCCCACATGAACGATGAACGATTCTGAGGGCCGCAGATGGGGGAGTATATATCAATTGCTTCCCTTTTTTTGTCAATAGTCCCGCACATTTTTTTTCGGTTAGTCATGCAAGATGGTATAACTCATTCTATCTCATTCTACCTAATCCGCAGCCAATTTTCAGAGTTCATCCCGGAAGCACGTCACAGTTGTATTACTACCAGGGTGATGTTGAAATTGGGTTTGGTTGAAAACAAAGGAGTACAGTATCCCAAAGTCTTATGATTCATCATCGTTTGAACAAATACCCAATGTTTTGACAAAGCCAGCAATACATCCCGTATCCTGTGGTTATTGATTCTGTATATACATGACATATATATGTATATATACATATTATGTAGCATATGATATATTATAGATATCCCATTACATTTCATGAAGTATTAGCCCCTGAAAAAAACCGATGGTTTTCTCCCCATTTGTTCAAGTCATGACTCGCCAGGTGTTGTATGTCTTTGGCATTGCCATGCGTCAAGCCACTGCCGGGACCGAGGTGGCACCTGGGGGGGGCATAGTTTTTGGTATCTACGATTCGCCATGATGTTTTGTTGAGATTTGTGTTTTTTTACAGATCGTAAAAACCACCAATTACGGTGATGTCTCTCATGAAAAGGAAACAAGCTTGTGGAGAACTTCACAAACAACAAGGTGGGATTTCACCACTAGAAATATGAATTCAAACAACATCAACTGTGGGGAGTTCAATGAGAAACGGTGAGAAGGCCTTCGCAACTGGAGACCAGCAAAGAATGGAGATTGAACTAACAAAACAGGAGAGTGAAGCTATCAAAACCTATCAAAAACGTTGAATGAAGCAGCACAGATGAAGATGTGACAAACTGGAAGGTACTCTGTGAAAACCCAACATGTGGAATACCCACTATTTATAATAATATATATATATATTATCATTTTCCCAAGGAACCCTTTGTTTTTGCACATCTAGGTTGGTTTACCCCAGGGTAACCACCACCCAAAAAGTCCCGGGTTTTTCATGAACCCACCGAGGACCACACAGGGTCAATCGGCAACATTTCAGGGTCACGATTGATGTGGAAACCCAATGGAAACCCAATGGAAACCCTCCTAGGGTAAACGTTTACATAGATGTGGGTTTGTTTACCCAATGGGGAAAGCCCTTTGGAACATGATGTGTACATTGGTTTTCGCATCTATGTGCACGTCTACATGAATCATATTTGATTGTCGGTCAGTCGGTCAGAACAGAATTTCCCCTAGCAGATTAACGGCTGAACCAGCATACGTTCCCCACTTCCGTTGGCTCATCTAAGAGGAAGTCCATGATGCAAAACCACCCCAGTTTTGAGGAGCTACCTGTTGACATACGAAATATAATCGCTTTCCCTTTTCATACCGGGGATGGAAGAAATCCTGCACCATATACCCATATATACCCTCTGGTAATTTAACGTAGCTATTGAAAATTGCACAGTCGAAATAGTTAATTTACCCATTAAACATGGTGATTTTCCATGATTTTCCTTGATTTTCCATAGTTGTAAACGTTTACCAGAGGGTAAATCCTATTAAACCCCATTAGATCCCATTAAACCACCATAAAACCCCATTAGATCCCATGCCAATCATCAATAATCCATTTACCCTCTGGTTATTTAACATAGCCATGGTATAGATCGCCCATAGAAATAGATGGTTTACCTAGCTATAAAATGGTGGATCTTTCCATGGCGAACTGTTAGTCACAACCAGATGGTATTGCCATTGATCATGAATGAATATGAATCCCACCATTCAACCCATATATAAATGGCCCAGTTTGTAGGTAAATATACCAGCACCATGGTTCGCAATATGGGCATTGCCATTAGATCCCAAAAATTCCTATTAAATCCCATTCGATCCCATTAAACCACCCTAAGGCCCCACTAGATCCCATGCCAATCATCAATCATCCGTTCGTCACCATCCGTTCGCTGCCCAGGGAGGGGATCAATACTTTGGCAGCGTCTGGAAATCCATGTCCTTTGCCGCAAGGGGCGGGACGGCGGTCGCACGGTCGGACGGCGTAAGGCGTGGCGGTCTTGGCGCTGCCATTTCACCAAGAACCATTGATTTACCATCTGGTTATGACAACATAGCCATGGAAAATCACCATGCTATTAATAGGTAAACCCAGGTAAACCATCTACAAATGGGTCATTTTCCATAGCTACGTTAGTCATACGCAGATGGTAACCATTGACAAATTGAGTTGTTAAATGGTAAGTGGTGAATGGTCAATGGTAGATCGAGTTGTTGAATGGTAGCTTATCAAAACCACATAAAAAGAATGGTAGAATTGAGTTGACCATTGATCGGCCATTTTTCACCAGGGATTTCACCATTTCATCCTTTAGATCCTAAGTCTTAAGTGGTTCACAAGCAGCCCATGGTTTTCTCCATCAATAGTTAACTAACCGTTCTTGAGACGGGCGTCTTCAGACCTGGTTCGCTGGGCTGGGTTGATTGGCTGAGCTGAAGTCTAAAGTCTAGATGTTGTTTGTCCTGCCAAGAACTACATACTGATATATATATATATAATGTATGTATAATATATACATATATATTATATATAATGTATATGTATAATGTGTATGTATAATGTATATGTATAATGTATATGTACAATGTATATGTATATATTCAGAACCAGCAAGATGATTACAGTATGTTTTTTAAAGCTAGATTCTGGATTTCGCTAGCCAAGCACTGGGTTGCGAGTGCATTGGGTGGCTGCGACAGTATGCCGGAACAGCCTGGAAGTAGGCTTCGATTTCACCATCGCAGGGGATGTTGGTCAGAGGTCCCCAGCACCTGAAATGGTTTGTGTATGGATAAACCCATCCAACTGCAGATGTTCCATGATTTTTCCATGAACGACCCACTCACATTAGTTGTAAACCAGCAGAAACTTATCTCCAGAGCACCTGGGTGAGTCTGCGATAAGCGTGGCTGAATTGGGTGGTCGTGTTGGGTTACTGGCTTACCTGTTGTTTCTGCGGGAATCTATCATACTTCACTATGAATTTATAGAATATCTAAGGTGATGAGTGATGTTTTCAATTGATGCCTTTACCCGCTGGTTGTATTTTTATTAGTTGGACGCCAGGGGAAGAGTTTGTCAAGTTGGTGGCAAGTGCAGCACATACCGGGATGAAACCCAAGAAATCCAACATTGTACAGACCTGATTACCAAGGGGCCAGCTTCAGCTACTATTATTAATATCCAGTGAGAGAATCGTTTTGTCAGTGTTTATGGCAGGTTTCACTTCAGTACCTAGCTGAAAAGTCGCATGAAGAATTGGGTGCATCTGCTGCTTCAGTTCTTCATGTTCTGGGTATGATAAAAACTACCCTCTGGTTATTTAACATAGCCATGGGAAATGGCCCATAGAAATAGATGGTTTACCTATTACTGTAAAAATGGTGGATCTTTCCATGGCTATGTTAGTCATAACCAGATGGTACCAAGTCCACGAATCACAGTAGTCTTTCCGTATCAGTGGCATCCAGAATTCCTGAATCATTCGCTTCTCTATCCCAAACCGCCACGGTTTGTTTGTTTCACAATTTGTGGCCGCACACATGTTCGGAGCCTTCAGAATGAGCGACGAATGATTTTCCCACTTAACATGATTATTTCAGGATTCCAGTTCATTGTTAAAAAAAGGATGTACACCAATGTACCGGACTTACCAGATAAGTTAACACTTGACAAATACAACAATCATTAAGCATTTAAACAATCAACTTCCATCCCAGGTTTTTTTAATGATTGTTTCAATGATTGTTTTAATGATTGCTTTCAAAAACAAACGACTTCCATTCAACAATCATTACAACTTCTTATATAAAATGACCTGTTTTTGAAAACTACCATTAAAACCAGTTAATTGTGTTTTGTTTTTTAATGACCATTCAACTGCTTTTCCGGATCCAGGTTTTCGCTTTTGGTCTATGCCACTCTCTTGGATTCCCCTGCCGAAGTCATGGAGAGCCTCAATGAAGTTGGCATAGCCCCTCGGTGGAAAACTCCCGAAGCCTTGAGTCTGATGTTTGAAACCAAAAAAAGGATTGGTGCACAGAAAATGCCACAGATGAAATCTTGCAGATTATTTGCCTGCCAACTTTGATGTTTGTTCATGTCGCTGCTTTTCTGTGCGATTTTCTACAGATCGGGTCTTTTTTTTTTGGGGAGTCGTTGCCGTCGTTGCCCTGCGCGTTTCAACTTCCAGCATCCAGCGGTCGTCCCGAAAAGGGGATCGCCTGGATGGCGGCTGAACTGTTGGGGAAAAATGCAGAATTTTCATCTGAGATTTTGCGAGTGCAAAAAAAAAACACCAGCTCTTGGATTCTCAGGTTTCCTCTTTGAGCAAGAATGAAGTGTTTGAGGGTTCGCCCAACACTTCCCTGCTTCAAGCTTAGGTCCTCTTTTTGCTGGTCATCGCGTTGTCAGCTTTGCTCCCTGGCCGTGTTTGTGATCAGATGAACATAAACTGTCTGGACTAATGCTCCATCTTGGATATTTTGGGAAGCCGCTTAAGTTGGGCTTGTGGATAGAGGGTTTATAGAGGTTTCCATGGGACCTTGGGACCATGGGATTTGAGGTCCCAAGAATCTTTAAGATTCCCATATTGGCTCACCATGGTGCTGGTATATTTACCTACAAAACTGGGTCATTTTTATGGGGTAAATGTTGGTAAATATGCTACCAGCACCATGGTGAGCCAATATGGGATTGTAAACTTTACTCGTGATTTACCAAAGTCAACGGACGGTCGGCCGACGGAACTTTCGGTCTTTCTTTAGCTCTTCGAGGTTTGTAGCTAGAGCTGAGTTCAACGGTTGGGCGTTTGACCTTGCTGAACAGAAGGATAGACGGTACTAACGTGGAGTTGCCCTTAGTTGAGTGACAACCCCAGAGGTGGCTAGGACATAAGAAGTCATGAGTAATGTAGTAAACCCAATCATGAACCATCCTTTTTTTTACCAACCACTTGGTGGCCATTCTATCCCAACTAGATCCAAACAGGTTTTTTGTTGTTGGGGATGTGTTTCTTATTGGCTTTGCATTGGGAATTTCCGCTTCCAAGTGAACCGACATTTGGGGATTCTGTGAACCGGGTAAACTAACATAGCGAACTGGAAAGATCCACCATTTTTAATGGGTAAATCCACTATTTCGACTGGGCCATTTTCAATAGCAAACTGTTAAATTACCAGAGGGTATCTTTTGTTGGAATGAAACGTCAAAGGTTTGGGTCAGGTTCGTGCAATCCCGGCAATCCCCCATATTCGAAGATGGTTTAGCGGTTCCCAATCCGTTAACCTATTTTTATCTAACCGCCTTCGGCGTGTTCCGCCGGCCACCATGGAAAGAGTTATCCTGTAGGCTGCAAACAGCCCTTACACAGGCCAAGCAAGAACATGGTTCTTGTGTGAACCATGGTGTTTGTGGATAACATGGTTTTTGTTCAAAACAGCTCTTTGTGTAAGAGCTGATTTGGACGCAAAAACGTTGGTTTTGTTCAAACCACGACTTAAGTTTAAACCAAAGCATGTGTGTAAACCAGGGTTTTGGAAAAAGCCATATTGAGAACGGCTTTGGAAAAGGCTTTATTTAGATATATTTAGAAAGGTTATGCTATGCGTGTAAAAGGTGTTCGGCACGAAAGCCAGTGGATCAAGTATTGGATATAACAAGGGACGGAACAAACCGATGGCAACACACAACAAAAAACGGAAATAACAATCGAAATGACAGCAAGATGTGCAAAAGCAAGCCGTTGTTGAGCGAGGCATGGGTAGAGTTGAGCCCACCACAACGTAAGGAAAGATCAAGACGAAACGAAGACGAGGCAAAAATCCGCGCCAAGGGGGAAGTCTAGACAAGACAAAGACAAAAAAGACAGTACAACTACGAACAAGCAAGATCCACAAGACACGCCAGCAGGCCGGCGGATTACCCATAAATCATCCTTTTTTGGGATCTTCCATGCCCCAAAGTTGCTATTGATCACCCATGTTTATGCCTACGGACCGAAAACCGTACTCGTAAAACGTAAGTTTTTGCAAACGCGGGGTCGGAGGTTATGTTGGGGTGGGGTGGGCATGTTAACGTTCTTTCTAGTGCGCACATGAGATGTTGCTACGCTGCAGAGATCTCTGGTATCCTTGCTACGTACATGTTGCATCATGTTGCGACGCTGCAGAGATCTCTGGTATCCTTGCTACGTTACATGTTGCTACGCTGCAGAGATCTCTGGTATCCTTGCTACGTTACATGTTGCTACGCTGCAGAGATCTCTGGTATCCTTGCTACGTTACATGTTGCTACGCTGCAGAGATCTCCTCTAGTATCCTTGCTACGTTACATGTTGCTACGCTGCAGAGATCTCTGGTATTCTTGCTACGTTACATGTTGCTACGCTGCAGAGATCTCTGGTATCCTTGCTACGTTACATGTTGCTACGCTGCAGAGATCTCTGGTATCCTTGCTACGTTTCATGGTGCTACGCTGCAGAGATCTCTGGTATCCTTGCTACGTTACATGTTGCTACGCTGCAGAGATCTCTGGTATCCTTGCTACGTTACATGTTGCATCATGTTGCGACGCTGCAGAGATCTCTGGTATCCTTGCTACGTTACATGTTGCTACGCTGCAGAGATCTCCCCTAGTATCCTTGCTACGTTACATGTTGCTACGCTGCAGAGATCTCCTCTAGTATCCTTGCTACGTTACATGTTGCTACGCTGCAGAGATCTCTGGTATCCTTGCTACGTTACATGTTGCTACTCTGCAGAGATCTCTAGTATCCTTGCTACGTTACATGTTGCTACGCTGCAGAGATCTCCTCTAGTATCCTTGCTACGTTACATGTTGCTACGCTGCAGAGATCTCTGGTATCCTTGCTACGTTACATGTTGTTACGCTGCAGAGATCTCTGGTATCCTTGCTACGTTACATGTTGCTACTTTGCGGATTTGTGAAGGATGTCCAGCGCGGCCGCTCCACCATCAAATGCCATACAGGCACGATTGATGCTGCGTGGACCAGGTGCGAACAATTCATCCCCAACTCTTTGGGTGCCAGGCACAAAGATGCCATGTTATATGCCAAAATGTGGCAATGGAGATTCATCAACAAGTACAAGAAGCTGCTTGAGAAGACTGCAGAGATGCTGCGAAAGATCGACACAAACATCCAAATTTGGACGTTCAAATTTGCCACTTTTCAAGTGACACAAATGGTTGCCTCGCTGTGGCAAAACACACATTTTGTTGTAAAACTCTATTTTCATGAGCCGGTTTTCGATCCGGCGGGATGTTTATCACCCATCACAAATCATCCATGTTTTTTTGGATGTTCCCCCAAGGTTGCTTCTAAACATGCTCATCGGCGTGATGTGCGAAGTGGTCTCCGGGGTCAGCCAAACCGAACGCGAAAGCATGGCCGAGACCTTCGTCAGGGAGAAGGTCGGATGGGTATAATGTGTATGGGATAGGGGAGTGAACCAAGAGAAATCATGGGAAAATCATGGGATATTACTACAAGGTGGTGCCCCCCCAAGTTATAAATGGGTTCTAATCCCATTAACTATAGATATATCACCTATAAACCATAGGTATTGGACTTATAAACCAACTTAGCTAACTATGGGGCACCATCTTGTAGGGGAAATGGAAAATGATGGGATATTACAGACATGAACTGAACCAGTAGCGAAAAATTGCGTATGGATGCGTATGGCAAAATGAACACGTTGTGCAAAAACGTGATGTGAGCCATGAACAAAATAGACTGCTTGATTGGTTACGAAATAAGAATATGATAGAAATTGACAGAATATTATATATATATTGCCTTAGTTATTGGATGAAGAAACCCATACTAGGGAAACCTACCAACCAACATCGACCAACTAGTATTTCATGAGATTTTTTGCTATCAGATAGGGGCATTCTTGGGAATTTCTAAAGTTTTAAACTTTATAAACCAATGTATTTTGCGGTTTACTGGAATTTTCAAAGAAACCCGGCCACAGACTTTGAATCGCCATCTTGGGTACTCTCTACTCAAACATGACATTTTCCCCAATGCCCCACCTCACAAGGGGCCACCTTGTCATCGATTCGACCCAAATATCACTTTGTTGCTTATAATTATAATACTTTACAACTAGCATAGTACTCTAGAATTATAGATATATAATTACAATACCTATAATACTTTATAATACTTTATAATTATATACAATTCTCCCATTATATCCCCAGTACATTCAAATCATTTCAGATCTATGGTGTTTTATCTTCAAACATGGCTTCACCCAGCTCTTCCCAGGTGCAGAAGATCATGTTTCAACGTCACGGTGTCCAGAGCATGTCGGTGTGTCGCAAGGAACTCCTCGACATGTTGCACGACCGTCCCTGGGCTGTCGCACCAGACCTGGGAGACCTGGGCCGACACGCGAATCTAAACGTGGTCGAATGTTTCTATATAGGTGAACTAATGGATTTTCTAATGGGGTTTTATGGTGGTTTAATGGGATCTAATGGGATTTACCCTCTGGTGAACTAACATAACTATGGAAAGATCCACCATGCTATTTTTATGGGAAAATCCACTATTTCGACTGGGCCATTTGAAAAATAGCTATGTTAGTCATTACCAGAGGGTAACTAGGTCAATCTTACATGGATACTTTAATCTTTTAGTCTTTTGGTATCAATGGGAATATCTACTAACCAGCAAAAAAAAGTATTTTGTTGCAGGGTATCTAAGATTGGCAATGGTTTGGGTCATGGTTGATCATAATTTTCTTTGAACTATAGTTGTGGGATGTTGTGGGTGGATAGAAATTATATATGGATGTGAAAATTGAACTAGTTGGGCGGATCTACATGATAAAAAAACAAAAGACATGATCAACAGGCTATAGAGATGTCAACCAATATATAGGTAGATTTCATGTTCAGAATCATCATGATTTTTATCGTTTTTTTTAATTTAACAAAACACCATAAAACACGGTGAACATGGGGCCCCAAAAAAGGCTATACCACTCTCCACATAGAAAGTCGGCTGATGATCCCATCCGATTTTTTTTCGGAGGTTCCACGCGGTGGAGTCACGCGGTGGGTCTATGTGTCAATGAATTGGTTTAAGGGAAAATCTTAATCGGAAACCATAGAGATTTTCCATAGATTTTCCCATGAAGATCATGGGGTTTTCCATGGTTTTCCTGTACATTTTCGCTTAAACCAATCCATTGAATGTGGCTACATGGCTTTGCTGGAAAATTTGCTGCCCCATTCCATTCCATCCCATGGTATTACCTGGAGTTCCATGCCCCATTTTGGGACAAACCCAATTACTTTGTCGCTTAGTTCTGGATCTCCCTAGATATCCCATGATATCTCATGACATTCCCATGATATCTCCATTCTTGTTGGTTTTACTCCATGTTTGTTGCCATTGATGCAGCATTTGTAGCTGCTAGAACCTCTAGAACCGTTTATATTTATAGATACTTTCTCAAGTGTCCAATCAAACATTGCCAATATAGATAGGTACGTGCTGGCTCCCCATAAATCGTAAGTGGGTTATAACCTCAGTTGTAAGTAGGATAAGTAGGCTTAGTCCACTTACAACTCGGGTTTAACCCACTTAGCATTCCTGGGTTAAGCTACCAAGTAGGAACTTGAGCAAAAAAAGTACTCCTACTTTATCCCATATAGAACTGGGTGAACCCCACAAACACAACCATATGTCTAGACTCCATAGGGTTTATGAATTATGAATACAACAGGGGGCACCACCAAGCAGTAATTTCACCATTTGTATCGAAGATCTCTCCCTTGGTTGGTGCTTCCAACTGGTGGCCCCCCTTTGAGGTCAAGCGACGTCGCTGCTGAATGAGGCGTAGCTGTTTCAGAAAGGATGGTTGGGTAGGCTTAGAGAGGCTGGCTTCACAAGCAACCAAAGGGGGTCTAACTGTGATGAATCGGTGCACTTCCAAGCATATCTAAGGCTGTTGGTGGTGACTCTTGCCGTCGCTTGCATTTGGATCAATCTGCAGGCATCCGGATGCCAATTTAGCATGCGCAAAACGACTGCATCTGCATTTGCTGCTTTGTGTTCTATTTGCTGCGCCTTTGTTTACCCCCTGGGTTTTCTTTTGCTGGGAGTGGCGCCCCATTTTCGGATCAACATTGGTAGCGGAGCTTGAGGGGAATAATTAGGCTGCTGCTTAACGTCCCTGAGAGCTATGGCGGAGACCACTGATGCGGTGGTGAGCGGGCAGCCAGCGGCTGCTGATGAGGCGGCGCAGCTGACAGCTGATGAAGCTCAGCCTGCTGCGGCGGGAGGTGCAGCGGGGCAGCCTGCGGCTGCCGTGGATCCTGCGCCGGAGATCTTGCAAGCTGCGGAAGCGCTGGCGGCAGCAGTGGAGGTGCCAGTGCCTGGTGAAGAGGTTGCTCCTGACCCTTGGGCAGTGACTGATCCCTGGGGTGGTTCGGGAGGTAGTGGACAAGTAGGTGATCCTAGCGGTGGAGGTGTAGCACAAACTACTGGGACATCAGTGCATGTGCAATCACAGTCTGGCATGGACACCTTGAACGGAACTGCTGTAGGAGGGCAGACACAGCCTGCCGTGGTGATCAATGGCATGATGCATGGACACGTAGTCAATGGAACATCCAACGGCCTGCCACCGTCAGGTACCTCAGCGATGCCTGTGGCGCCTGGTGGATGTACTGGTCCATCAGTCAATGGTGGACAGGGAGACTTGGCTGGAACTCAGGCTATGGGTGCGATGCCGATGATGAGTGGATACAATGTTGGATTTCCAAGTTTTCCTGGTTATGGTTTTCCAGTTGCACCACACCCTCATGCGTATCATATGCCATCACCACATCCATGCGGAGGGCAATCTTGTGGACAAGTTCCAGGACATGTTTCAGGACTATATGTAGGTCAACCCATGGGAGCATGTAATCATGGAGTACCCCCACCATATGGAGTTTATCAACATGGTCCACCCACGTCAAATGGTCAACAATGGAGTATTCCTGGTTCATGGGCTTGCATGGGACAGAACTCACCAGCACCGTCGAATGGGGTAGCCACGGCATCACCGAACGGCCAGCCCGTACAGGTGGAAGAAGAAGTGAAGCCGACCCCAAAGAAGAAAGAGAAAGCAGGGAACAGCAAACAGTTGAAGACTCCAGGAGGAGATGGCGATGATGGGGGCGATGAAGATGATGACAGCCACATGTCGTCGTCAGCGCCCACTTCAGAGATTAGGTCAATGTTGAGGAGAAGAGTGAAGCAAGAGGACAACAGCAACAGACCTAGGAGCTCTCTTGGCTCTGTGAGAATAGAGGAGTTCTCAGGAGATCGGGGGAGGTATCTCAAGTGGAAGCGCACCATACAGGCACAGCAATGCTTGTATGGTTTGGAGTCACAAGAACTGGCGATGCTGATATACCTGTCAACGAGGAGAGAAGCCAGAGATGTGCTGGAGCAACATGCCATCACGTCCTACACAGGAGCAGGTGGACTTCATCTCCTTTGGAAGGTCTTAGACGAGGCCTTCGGAGAGAGCGAGTCGGAGCTCTTTGAAAGAGCTGACAGAGAGCTGGAGCGGTACAGGCGAGCCCCAGGAGAGAGCATAGCTCACTTCTTGGCAGAGATGAGGAGACTGAGGGCGCAATACTACCGCATAGATCCAGACTCAAAGTTCAGCGACAAGGCGTGGGCCCAGAAGTTGCTTCAAAAGGCCTCACTCTCGCGCCGAGAGAAACATGACTGCTACTATGCAGCTGGTGCCACCTTTGACCCGTTGGCAATCGAGAAGGCCTTGAGGATCCGATGTGGAAGGATCCACGAGGAAGAGAGGAGAAGCACACCATACAAGCCACAGCCATACAAGCCACAGACATACAAGCAAGAGCACAAGCAGGAAGGTGGCCATGGAGGAGGAGCCACACACAAGCAGACATACAAGAAGAAGAAGGTCTTCATCAAGAAAAGATACAACACAACACATGTGGCAGAGGCTGAGGGAGGAAGTGATGAGGAAGACGCAGAAGATGAAGCAGAGCCAGAGGAAGAAGGCCACGAAGAAGAGGCAGAAAGAGAAGCCTACATAGAAGATCACATAGAAGAAGACGGCGATGAAGGGCCAGAAGAGGAAGAAAGTGAAGGAGAGCTGGATGAGGGCGAGTTGAAAGAAGCATTCGCCGCTGGCTGGAAGGCCAAACAGAAGACCGCAGAAGCCAAGAAGACTAGAGGATGGAAGACAACAGCTGGAGGAAACCAGCGACCAAAGAAGGAGAAGAACTGGGAACAAATGAAGAAAAGTTCCACCTGCTCTTCCTGCGGCATGAAGGGCCACTGGAAGGGCGATCCAGAGTGCCCCAATGTGAAGAGTGGAAAAGATCCCCCTCACAAGAAGACCAATGCGGTGCACTTCACTTTCATGGTGAACACTGAAGCTCAGTGTATGCAATGCCTCCACTTCTCTCCAAGCACCGCCAGGTTCTGCGCTGAGTGTGGCGCAATTATGAGAGATCACCCAATGCCAAGTGAGACAAGGAAGAGGATCACTAGTGAAGAAGAAGAACGATGGGATCTCATACAAGAACACTCTCGACCATTCAGCTATGAAGTGACGAGAGAAGTGGCACAGGTGGCGGCGAAGATGAAAGCAAAAGCACATGCACCCACACCGGCATCAACAAGCACAGCAGGCAAGGTGAGACTGCATGGACAGGAAGTCCTAGCGGCCTTGCCAAACATGAGCAGGCAGGAGAAGAAGGAGCTTCACAGAGCTCTTCAGGAGGAGGAGCAGAGGGAAGCACAGGAAGCATGGGAACAAAGACACCATCTCATGCCTGAGGTGGGCCAAGGAGGATACACAGGCGAAGGGTTTGAAGACCCTTTTGCACACAGCAATGCCGATCCAGGGAGAGGAAGCCAAGAGGTGTTGGCCCCACCAGAAGGGAAGGACAAACCGAAGCCTGTGAAGGAGAAGGAACTCAAGGACTTCCGAAAGTCCCTGTATGATGCACAAATGCAGGGAGGAAGAGTTGTCCCATCAAGTGCCGCGCCACCACCAAACGAAGCACAAGCAAGATGTACCCATCCCTTCGATGGACTCAGGTGGTCAGCCAATGCCGAAGGACACTACGCAAGGTGCAAGAGGTGTGACCTGAAGCACGTGGTGTATTACAGCATGAGGCATGGGGTGATGATGGTGACAATGCAGCATGAAGCCCCTGAAGGACTTCCCAAGGAAGCGAAGGTCTGGATCCGTGAAGACAAGGGTGCCAAGCACTACAAGATGATCAATCCAGGTGGTCCGGCGTGGGAACAAGTGTGCTGCAGGGTGACAAAGGATGTCAGAGGAGAAATCCTGCAGAGCAAAATGATCACACATGAAGAAGAACAAGACACCCAGCTGAAAGAGACCATACCTGGACCACCCAGGGACATAGTTACCGAGTTTTGGTACGTCCCAGACAGCCGATCAAGCATATACAACGAAGCAGCACAGTTCATACAGTCCCAGAAGCCGGGGCTAGCAATAGCAGACAGCGGCTGTCGGAATGCAGTGGGTGGAGTGCATTGGCATCGGCACTACCAGAAGGTTTTGGACCAGCTTGGTATCCCTTGGGAAGTCATCTCCGAAAGGGAGATCTACAAATTTGGGGCAGGGGCCCCAATTGTCAGCAAGGAGGCATGCCTATATCCAGTGATGATCCATGGCAAGATGGACATCATTCGGATGTCAATAGTCCAAGGAGGAGGTGAAGCATGCCCAGGCCTGATAGGCCCAGGAGAACTGAGCCGTTGGAAAGCAGTCTTCAGGTTTGCAGACAAACAGCTGGAGCTGAACGGCAGATCGAAGCCCATGCAGCTAACCGTCACAAGACATCCAGGCATCAACCTGCTGGAAGGAGGCAAGCATGAAGCAGAGGAGCTCAGGAAGTTTTGGCAGTCACAGGAAGGAGAGGAGCAAAAGGCAATTCTCACAACAACACCACACAAGTACGCCTTCCTGACAGGAACAGGCGAAGATCAGGAGAAGCAGGAAGATGCGGAGTCAGAAGAGACGGAGGAAGAAGAAGAAGCGTCAGACGGGGACAGAAGAGAGTCCAAGGTAGAAGACTGGATGAGGAGACTCAATCAAGACCTTGGAATCATTCAGATCCCAACGGTAGATGCAAAAGCAGGCATGGAAGAAGAAGAAGAAGAAGTGAGCTCACCGGACGAAGAGGTGGCAAGTGATGGAACCTCGTCCCACGAGATGGGGGTGGAAGTTTTGACAGATGAATCCACCGATGAGGAAGAGGTACGAGGAGAAGCAGAGAAGAGACATGTCTTCCTGAGTGGAGCCAAGAAGAAAGACATGTACAAGGGCCTGAGAAAGAAGCTTGGCCATCACATCAAGGAGATCAAAGGCCAATATCAAGATGAGGAGATGAAGCGGCGGAAGAAGGAAGCCGTCCCAAGAGAGATTGGCACCAAGACGACAAGAAGAAGATGGAAGGTCCTGGAAGTCTTCACTTGGACCTGTGCCATAAGCATGATCGCCTCAACGATGGGATGGGACGTGTGTGAGCCAGTATCTCTCCCAAGATGGGACCTCCTGAAGGACCACGACTATGAAGAAGCCATGCAATACATCAGGAGAGAAGACCCCGACCTTTTGGTCATTGCATGGCCCTGCACGGTCTGGAGTCCCTTACAGAGTTTTGGCAAGAAGACTCCCTGGCAAAGGATGAACCTCATAGAAAGGAGGATAGAGCAAAGGAAGCTTCTAAGGTTTGTCAGGGATGCAGCCATAGACCAAAGGGAGAGAGGAGGAGCATTGATGGGCGAAAACCCAGACCCATCTTTGGCATGGAAGGAGCCGTTGATTGAAGAGGCTTTTGAAGGCCAAGGAGTCACAAAGTGTGACATGTGCCAGTTTGGGCTGAAGATTCCAGCGGGGCCGATACGAAAGAGGACCCGACTTCGAGGGACAGAAGAAATCATGGAAGCATGTACAAGGAAGTGCCAAGGTGAACATCAACATGCTCCATGTCTCGGAGGGGTCCAAATAGAAGGAAAATGGATGAACGTTTCGGACTTCGCAGGAGGATACACCTCCGATTTTGCCAGACAAGTGGTGAAGGGAGCTGAAGCATACCTCACTAAAGGCAGGCAAAAGGAGGTTTTTGTGGAAGGTGACAGCTGGCCCGAAGAAGACCTCGAAGACGAGGAAGAACAGCCGATCGAGGAAGGGCTGATTGAAGAAAGAACGGAGCAAAAAGGGAAAGCATGGAAGCTCCAGAAAGTGCACGAAAGACTGGGACACCCGACAAATGAGACCCTGTCGAGGATGTTGTCTCTATCAGGAGCAGACAAGGAGACAGTCGAAGCAGCGAGAGAGCTGCAGTGCCCAGTGTGCCAGGAGGTGGCGCCTCCAGGGAGGTACCTCAAGCAAAGAGCTGAGGTGAGACCCACAGTTTTTGGCAAGGAAATACACTGTGATCTCAAATACCTCCATGATGCTGAAGGAAAACTCCACGTAGCCTTGTCAGTGGTAGATGCAGCATCATCCTACCATGCAGCAGTCCTCCTCCGCAACAGAAATGCGGAACATGTAGCAAGGAAGATGGCAAGGCACTGGTGTTCCATACATGGAATACCTGAAATTATGGTCATAGACCAAGGAGGAGAATTCGATGGAGCATTCATCGGATGGATGGAAACACACGGCATACACAGCAAGGTTAGTGGAGCACGATCAGCATGGCAGCATGGATTTGCCGAAAGACACGGAGCACTCCTTGGCTCAGCATGCACCTCCCTCATTTGGCAATACAAAGCAAAAGGAAGAACAGAAGTAAAGGATTGCCTCGCTGCGGCAATCCAAGCCAAAAATACGACAATACCCCGAAAGGGATACACGCCATACCAGTTGGCGTTTGGAAGACAACCCATGTTTCCCGACCTACTGGACGAAAGCATCACGGCAAACATGTCGTTGAGGGATGCATTGGGTGTTGAAGGAGAAGTCAGGAGAGCTGCAGAGATGAGGACAATGGCAAGAGCAGTTTTTCTCAGACAGGACGTACAAGAGAAGCTCAGGCGAGCTTTGAAGAGATGGCCAAGAGGAGAGGAAAGAGCCTTCAACCCGGGCGAAATGATTTACTTCTACTCACCTCAACCAAAGACAGCAAGGTTCAGAAAAGATGGTGGCTCATGGAGAGGGCCGGCAGTGGTTCTCATGAGGGAGTCAGCTCAACGCTATTTCGTGAGCTGGCGAGGCAGATGTCTCTTGGTCTCAGCGCCCAATATGAGATCAGCATCCAGTTTGGAAGCAGGAAACTTCGAAGGAAGGGTCCAGGAGCTAGATGAGCTAGAAGACAGAATGGATGGAGAAGAGAAAACTTATGAAGACATCAGCCATGAGAGAGGCCAAGAGCAACAGAAGATAGAAGCCATGGGTTGGAAGGCCCATGATGGAGCGATATCTCCTCATGGCATGAGGAGCAAGGAGAAGGCAAAGGAAATCGCTCGATCCCTGAGAGGGATGAAGACCATCAAAACCGTCTTGAAGGAGAAGATAAAGAAGACGGACAAGAACAGAAAGAAGAAAGAAGAGCCACGAAAGAAGAAGACAGCAGATAGCAAAGAGGAGATACAACAACAGCACCAGCAACCTGACCAGAGTCAGGGTTCACAGACCAGCAAGCCAGACACAGGCGGACAAGAGAGGACTGCCTCCACAGAAGAGATCATGAGAAAGAAAGAGCAAGAGGAGACATACAAGAAGGTGGATGAAGAGCTCTTGAACGCACTGAAAGGGCCCACCGAAGACTTCAAGGAGAGATTAAGAAAACATCTGCAAGATGATGTCCCTCAACAGATGAAGAGGCCATTGGAAACTATTCCAGGTCTTGAAGAAGAAGGAATTCGGAAAAGATTCCGAGCAGGCATGTTCAATTACACCATGCTGAGTGTTTCAGGAAGGAGAGCACGTGCCAACGCATGGTTAAAGAAGAGCGAAGTGAGAAAACTATCGCAACTTTTGGACTTGCCGATCGTCAGTGCAAGATCTCACATGACACCCAGGAAGAGATTCGCCAAGCCTCCGAAGGGTAAGAACAGAGGTAGAGTCACTGTCATGCTGGGTGAGGAGGTAGGACAGGCCACAGTCTGCTATGAGACCTCTGAAGAAGTCAGACAGAGACCAAACAGGAAAAGCCCCTATGAGTGGAAGGGCTTGACGCTCTTTGTCAGAGAGGAAATCAGCAAGAAAGGAGGCACTGCAACGGTAGAGATGCCGGATGGAGTGTATGAGGCTCAGGTGGAGGACATGAACGAGTGGAAGCAGCTGGTGGATGAGGAGTTGGAAAGGCAAGCATTTTTTGAGGCGTTCATCTTGCAGAATAAGATGAATGGAAAAGAGCTTGACCCACGTTTTTTTGATCAAGAAGAAAGAGAGAAGTTCAAGCAAAGTGATTTGAAGGAATGGAAGAGCTGGCTTCAGAACAAGGTGATCAAACGCCTGTCTCCGGAGGAGGCATCAAAGGTAGACAAGAAAAATGTGTTTCCAGCACCGGTGAGGATTGTGAGGGTGAACAAGGGAGCAATGCAGGGCACCTTTTTACCTAAAAGCAGAATAGTAATCCCAGGCCACCTAGATCCACATCTGGGTTCCTTTCGAAGTGATGCACCTACGGTTCCATGGGTGACAGTCCAGTTGGCAAAGATGGTGGGAGTCAACAAGGGATGGTGCTTTCTCATTTTTGATGTTTCTACGGCTTTTCTGTCTGGAAAGGAGGTGGAACGAGATCTGGTGATAAAGGCACCTATTGATGGACTTCCAGCATGCCCAGAGATGAATGAGCCAGCAGTCCGCCCTTTTGAACTCATGAGAGTTTGCAAGAGCGCATATGGATTGAGTGAGGCTCCAAGACTATGGTACTTGCGTGCACGAGAATTGCTCATTTCAATAGGTTTTGAGGAACTGCAGATGGCCAAAGCTACATTCATCATGAAACAGAAAGGCGATGTGATTGCCATCCTGTGTCTTCATGTAGATGATGGACTGCTAGTGATCAAGCCTTCTGCAGTGGAACGCGTGAAAAGAGCAATTGACAAGCATTTCAACATCAAAGAATGGCAACAGATCGGAGAGAAAGGGGTTACATTTTTAGGAGTCAAGACCTATGTCAAGCATGGCATCTACTATGACGACATGTCTGAGTATATCAATACCATACAGTATGCCAAGGTTGAAACACCCAATGATGAACCCCTCAAAGGCAGTCAGCTTTCAGCATATCGTCGATTGGCAATGCAACTGAGGTGGCCAGCTCATTTTGTGATGCCGGAATTCCTCTTCCGCACCAGCGAACTGGCCCAAAGAGTGAGCATGGCGACTGGCAACGACTTGAAGTATACCAACAAGTTGCTCGAAGGCATGAAATCGGCAGCATTGCGAGGTGAAGCTCTGACCAAAATTCATCCATTGAAAGGTGATTTGATCTTTGTTTCATACTTTGATGCTTCACTAGGAACCTCAAAGACCAACAGAGCTCAGCAAGGGGAAATTCATTTTCTCACCACAAAATCAGTTTTTCGTGAACCGTCTGTGGCCAACATTGTGGAGTTCCACTCGAACAAAGTGCATCGAGTGGTTCGAAGCAGTCTTGCGGCAGAAGGATGCTCAATGACCAGTGCCGGCGATCGTCAGTTGTACAGTAGAGTCATTTTAGATGCGTTCATGTATGGTAAGACTGACATTAATTCAGGTTGGCGACGTGAACTTCAAACCCCTGGCTGCTTAGTCACTGATGCCAAGGGATTGCATGACCACATTTTGAAGACAGGCGGCATTGCTTCGGAAAAGCAAGCCGCCCTAGACATGTTGATGACCAAACAATTGGTAGAAGATAATGTGGTGCAAATTCGTTGGACGCCAACCTGGAAGCAGTTAGCTGATCCACTGACCAAAGATATGGTTACCACCCTCTTGGAACAGTTTCGACACAGTAGCAAATTGTGTCTTGTACAGACACCAGAGGATGAGAAAGAAGAAACTCGCAGAGCTGGAATCAGGAAAGCTCAACGCGAGCGTAGGAAGATGCGAATGAAGGCGACGGCAACGCTTTCTCCCCCTGATGTGATGAATCGGTGCACTTCCAAGCATATCTAAGGCTGTTGGTGGTGACTCTTGCCGTCGCTTGCATTTGGATCAATCTGCAGGCATCCGGATGCCAATTTAGCATGCGCAAAACGACTGCATCTGCATTTGCTGCTTTGTGTTCTATTTGCTGCGCCTTTGTTTACCCCCTGGGTTTTCTTTTGCTGGGAGTGGCGCCCCATTTTCGGATCAACACTAACATGAAAGCTAGAATCTGGATTTTCATCAACAAACATGAACATTTGCAACTTATGCCGATACGCAAAATATCTGTTGATATCTTATGATCGTTTGCTGTTGATAATGATCTCTGCTGGATGGGTGACCATCAACCTTCAAATGAATATCCAATCTTCCGAGGTTTCCCCTGTGAAAAGTATCAGATTTAGTTGTGCACTTTCGAATCCCATACCCTCTGGTGTTTTTTTAACATAGCTATTGAACATGGTGATTTATAGTGGATTTACCCATTGAAAATGGTGATGTTCCATAGTTATGTTAGTTTACCAAGGGTTATCTTTGGGGCTGGCATAACATAAAAATATGCTCATCGTTGATATTGAGATTGATCGAAAAGTTGCAGGCCTGGAAATTGGTAAAAATGGCAGCTACAAAACCATGCGCAACTGTTCTAACTTATTCCATCTTATGAACCGAGATTCCATCATGAGGGAAACCAGCACAAAACCTGGTAAAGGTTGACGATTAAAAGTGTTGGTGATTCAGTTTCAGAAAGGGGGACTGGGATTGTCATGAGTTAGCCTTTCAGAAAATCCATCTGTGTAATTATCCATGATTATCCATGTATGGAATAGATACATGTTGCTACGTAAATCGCAAAAACATCACAAAAAAAGGTGGTCCGTAGGAACTATACCCAGGTTCGTTGAAATCGCAGCGTGCAGGCTGGTGTGGATGTGATTGGTCTCGTTTCTTGGGCTTTGAAACTGACCTCGCTAAAGAATGCTAAAGAGACCTTTCAAACCTACTGCAGTCGTTAGGAGGTTTCGGCTGTTGTGAAACTTCATGGCCCACGGTGATTCGAATGTTTTTGTTCGATCTCAGCTGGGAAGATGATTCAAATTGTACCCTCTGGTAAACTAACACAGCTTTTGAACATGGTCATTTATAGTGAGTTTTCCCATTAAAAATGGTGATTTTCCATAGCTATGTTAGTTTACCAGAGGGTATGTTTGAGATTCTGAGATGCGTCGGCTTCAGCATGCCATTCTGCTGTCAGGCTGTCACTAATGACACCTAATGGAGGACCATCCCACCAATTTTACATCTCCATTTTGACCCAAATATCTGTGTGACCCGGGACTGAAGGGGACTGTAGCATACTATTGGATCGTCCGTGCGTATTCGCCTGGATCATGCTACTAACCTGCTGGCAATTGCAAATGACAGAGATACATTCTGCTGGCCGTAGATGACAAGGATAGTGGGTTTACACTGAGAGCGTTCGTTGTGTAATATTAGTCATATTACTGTATACCCTCTGGTTATTTAACATAGCCATGGTATAGATGGCCCATAGAAATAGATGGTTTACCTGGGTTTACCTATTAAAAATTGTGGATCTTTCCATGGCAAACTCTTAGTCATAACCAGATGGTATATTCCGATTGTGTCGGTTTACACTTAGCAGTTTAGTCTGAAGCCTTCCATCTATCAAATCACCATTTGGGAGTGACGGCTGAAAAACACACCGCTTAACAACCCATTTCTTATGTCATAATTCTATTCCATTCGCTCATGGCTCAGTCAAAACCCCAAGTAAATTTTGGTTAAAACCAAAGTTTGATGATTAAGCCCCAAGCTTCAAGATGAACGCCCCAATTTTCATGATCAAAACATATCTGTGTCATGATCGAGACTTCAAGTTGCTTTTGAAAACCCATAGTAACTATAGTTAGATGTATTTAAGATGTTATATGTATCATAGTTTTTGTTTAAGATGTATTCATTAAAAAAAACAAATTAAAATAAGTTATTCACAACTATGATAAGATGGTATTTTAGTAGCTATATAAACCATCGTTGTTTTAGACTTTTTTTCCAGCACCAACTGAGCGATGGTACCCGGGGGGGAAATCCTCTCCTCTCAGCGAGGTTGACGTCTCCGACTTCATCTTCCATCGTGATGGCAACGACGACGATGAGAAGGAGAACACGACGAGCCATCAAAACATGACTTTTATGATGGTTACCCTATGGTAAATAAACTTGTTGACCCTGAAAATCACCAATGTTTAATGAAAACTAGTCTTCCAACCCCGATGACTGGCAGGGTCTATGTTAATTTACCAGAGGGTATATGATGGTTAATCATTGGCTTAATATCGCTAGTGATCAATGGGTGATATGATAATGATTATTTGGTTGGTGGTTTGGAACATGACTTTTATTTTTCCTTATATATTGAGCATAATCGTCCCAACTGACTTTCATATTTTTCAGAGGGGTAGGTCAACCACCAACCAGTAATGGTTGATTGGTAGAAATTATAGGGAACGATACTACCTGGCTTATTGGGAATATGGAATTATTTGATTTCCATAGTATCTGGGTAAATTATAACGACCTCACTGCGACCTCACTGAAACAATAGTTAATAAGGGAAATCATCCCCAAATGGCCGAACTATTCAGGTTAGTGAAATATTATAATTTACCCAGATAGTATGGAAACCGTTGATCACCAGTATATATCGATGGGAAAACGGTGTATTTTTAATGGCCCACACGGCTCTGTTTGAAGTAGGAGATGGTTGAACTTTTTGGGCTTACAATGAGATATCCTTGGGTTATGACTCTTGGGTGCCTTATCCTTTGGTTTGGTTACCGTATAAAAAATGTAGCTATGTAAAATCACAATCTGGAATAGGTAAATAATCATTTCTATCATCTATAAATGGGGCACTTATCCTTGGATAATGTTTTGAATGCCTTGAGAATGAAGACGACGTTGCGGGATTGTGACGTGCATTGTACCCTGGTAATTCAACATAGCTATTGAAAACGGCCCATGTATAGATTATTTGCCCACTAAACCTGGTGATGTTCCAAAGCTATGTTAAATAACCAGAGTGTATATAGACATCATGCTGTATGATTTGTTTGTTTTGGTTAACTCGTTGTGCAGGAAAATGGGACCAAATATCAAGAATGTCCATGTCTCAAGGTTGACATTCCATTTGACAATTAAGCAACCAAAACATGGGGGCAACTGGCAAAATTGCCACAAAACATGCAAAAAGAAAACAAAAAGAAAACCAGGTCCTTGGAATTCGCATGATATGTTAAGTGGTCATTTCACGTAACCTGACATATCTACAGTATATAATTACACAACTATAGTGATTCATAGTGACTTCGTAGTGATTTAATAGCGATTTAATATGTAATAGTGATTATGTAATAGTGATTCATAACTGATTCTTAGTGACTGGTTGGTGGTTTCAACCCTTTTACTGTATCCCCTTACGTCGCCCAAACAATTACCTCTGCCTTGATCCGCAGCCGTTCACGGCTCCACTGCAATGAAGCGACGCATCGGCCTCGTGGGCGCGGCGCTGGCGCTGGATGTTGCTGTGGCGCTGAAATATGCCGCCGACGGCGGGACGGGTGGTTGGTGAGCTATGAGCCATTGGGATAGGAGGAATAAATGTGGAATAGACGTATATTCCGAATATCATGATCCTATCTATTTTGATATGTGGTAAAAGAAACAACAAGAACTGGAGGTATGTGTTCTATAACGATATAAGAATATAAGATATATAAGTAGCTTTTGTAGATGTACAGTAATCATCAATCCCGCTGTGCATATAAAGGCTTATAACAGGTATTTTAGCAATCAGTTCATACCCATCATTAAGAGTTACAGTAAGGGACCTATTATCATGTAATATTTAATCCAACTTACCATGAAGAATAACAATAGATATAACAATAGCTAATTTTTCAGAATAACTTATCCGAATCATGTTCAGTATCAGTTCTTGTCCATCGCAGTTTGATAGGTTCATTTATTTTTCCATGACCCATAGGATCCATGTATGGTATATATGCTAACATTTGGGGTATACTGATGGTAAATGTTACCATATATAGCAGCACCATGGATCCTATGGGTGAGCAAACCCCACACAAGAATGACACATCGTCAGTTTAAGCGGGCTTTGAAACAACAGTGTCATGACTCATCTTGACCCATTTTTTCGGGAATATATGGAGGTTCTCTCATTTTAGGACACCTCCATATCTGAAATATAGTTAGTAAAATCTGACATTCATAAAGTAACTAGACTTAACTAATCCTCGGATTTTGGGTTGAACATGGACCAATACCTTTTTCATGACCATATATGGAATCTAGTTAGTGTGGTAAACCCAATGCCATAAACCATCCCGGATTTCTTACCACAACTAGGTAAATGGTAGTTGTTTATGACGTTTTACCACATGAAAGACTTTACTGAAGCTAACTAATCCTGCGATTTTTTTGGTAAACACCTGTAAATATCTGGCATGAATAGGAACTAAATTAGCCAAATGATGGTTTCCTAAAATAGGGGTACCCCTGGTTATCATCAATTTCAGATTGGGCTTTTCCACCAAAAAAACCATCCAGCTATTGGGGTACCTATCCATTTTAATAGGCTTTACCAAATCATCCATTTTAATAGGCTTTTCCACAAAAAAAAAAAACATCCAATTTGAGGTACCTTTATTTTAGGAAAGCTCCAAATCTGTTCAACCCCAGGTTGAGTGAGTTCACATCGACCAGGTGTTGCGACCGCGACCCCCACCCCGTGTCACATCTTCACGTTGTGGAACTACTCCAGACCAGTTCCTGATGCTTGGCGACGTGGCGATGGGACCTTACGCAAAGCTTGGGTATATAGTACTTGTAGTTTAATATGGAGTATTTATGAGTATTTGAATACTGCTTGGTAGTGACTGGAACCATGGAATTTGGATTGAATGACTTTCCATTCATATTGGGAAGAATCATCCCAACTGTTACTCACTCATATTTTTCAGAGGGTTGAAACCACCAACCAGAATATGTACAATAAAGATAGAATGTGCATATAGTATATTAATGCATATAATGTTATATATATATAGGTTGTGCGGCCATGTTTTTTTGACAGGATACCCAGCTAAGGATTAGCTTCATGATGCTTTATTGTAAGATTCTAAGAATAGCTGTGCAGATATCACCAAGACGGGCTATCTGCTCTGTGAACCACTGTAACATATTAGTACAGTAAACTAACTGTTTTATTCAACCAAACTTGACAAAATAATTTTATATTCCACTGTTTTTTTTATGTTGCAATGTCCTCGAACTTGTCAGCTGCAAGCCTCAATTCAAGACAGTAATTCTTCTGGTAAGTTTCAGTCATTTGTTCAGCGTGAACAACATTTTTTTGGAGACAGCAAACTAATATGCTGGTTACGCCTGTACTCCCTGTTCGCTTCATCCACTCCCTGGGATTCGCCAATATCCACATGAAAACTGCAGACCCCCGAGACTGTGAGTTGCTTTAACGGGCGGGTCTACATTCACCGGAGGTATGAATTGGACCATTTCAAAAGACCTATTGAAGAAGATGTTAGCAGCATCCCTTGAGTTTATCTTAAGATTTATTTTTAAAAAAAAACTTATAATAAATCTTATAGTCTTCCTGGAGTGGATAGAATATGATAGCAGCTCTGATAGCATATGGACATGTCAAACAACCCTCACATTTCTAATGGTCATCCAATGACCATGGTAAGCCCTGAGCTGGGTTTAAAAACCCCAGGTCGGCTGGGATATAGCTTATTAAGTTGGAAATATCCCGCCAAATAGAGAAATAGTTTATATATATATATGATAGGGCATATAGCACTCTAAGCAATCAGAAAACTATGTAATACTATATGTTTACAGATTGCTTATGAATTTCACATCCAATTTTTCATTCGCAAACAATGAGATATGTGTTCTATGTTTTTATGGAATACCTCAAATTTTTGATGGTTCATCATCAGTGTCCCTATTATGAGTTTAAATGCCATATGTGTTTTTCAAAAAAAACAACATGTCCAGACAAACCCACACATTATATCTGGTTGGTGGTTTGGAACCTTTTTTTTCCATTCAGTTGGGAATAATAATCACAACTGACTAATATGTTTCAGAGGGGTTCAAACCACCAACCAGATATTGATGGTTACATATATCCCATCATGTTCCCATTTATCCCCTTTTATGGTTGGTTAATATGAGAGCCATAAAGTCCATTGATGTTCCTATCAGCTGAGCAGTGGCTGCCACTCGTGTTGGTTGATCATGAGTTTGTCATTTAAAAGGGGATTGAACATGGTCATCAAACTATGAGGATATTTTCGTGGGAATGGATACCCTCTGGTATTTAACATAGCTGTTGAAAATGGCCCAGTCGAAATAGTGGATTTTCCCATTAAAAATGGTGATTTTCCATAGTTTTTTTGTATGTTTACCAGAGGGTAAATGATGGTTGGTTGATGCTTGATATATTGGGGCTTCAAACCCTGCAATCAGCTTTCTCCACGAGGTGCTGTCCCAAATCGTTAGCGAAGTTGGAATAACTTGGGTTTATAGTAGAGATATATATATATATATATCACTTCTATATCTATACTTCATTTGGGTCATAAATCAACTTTATAACATCTTATATCATCTTATATCATCTGATATCATTTTATATCATCTTATATCATCTCAATTAACTCTATATATATATATATCATATTATATGATCTTAAAACTAGTTATAAACATGTATAAGTCAAGGTTACAACTTACGGGCCATGCCCCAGGAGTACATCCACCTCAACCTGCAGAGTTGGGAATTGGCCTCACAGGGCCGCTGCGGCGCGCCCATCTTGGCCGGGGACTTATCGGGGGGGTTGGAATGTGGCGAAGAAGTCGAAGTGGATACCCGTAATTTAACATACCCATAGGATCCATGTATGGTATATATGCTAACATTTGGGGTATATTGATGGTAAATGTTACCATATATAGCATCCAAGTGTGGATGGTCCCAGAGGTAGATAGCTGCAATGCCCAAGTATCCGCAATGCGGAATCAAGTGAAGATGGCAAAACGAAGAGGTGGCGATGCGACCTCGCTCAAATCCTTTTTCCTTGACCCCAAATGCAAACTGTCGTAGGCACGATGAAATCCGTGTGTTCGACTCAATTGAATGGACATGACAATTGCATGCCCCCTTCACTCTTCAGAGTGGCGTTCAAAAGAAAAATGAGAACCATAAAAACTTTCGCCATCATCCGGTGTCACCGGAGTTCCCTGGGTATTATTCTCAAAAAGAGGGGTGTTTGTGCTTCTGCGTTTGCGAGCTGACCTCATGCCATCGTCCTCAACGATGCGCCACATGCCCTTCATGGTGTAGAACAAATCCAACTCCTTAGCCCCAGCTTTCGTCAAAGCGTTTCCCAACTGCGCTTCGGAGTGCACCCATCGCACTACTACATTGTTTCGCGTTTGAGCCGCTTTGAGTGCTAAAAGCTCTATGTCGGTCCGTCGTTCAGCACCCTTTGGACTGAGTTCTTCACTTTGAAGTTTGTCATAAACGTTACGGGAATCAGAAACAATACAACCAGGAACAACATTCACAAGTTCATTAACATCAAAAACATTCGGATTGTTATGTAACATTTCCCCATATTGAAACCGAGCATGAAACAAAACATCTTCCCCATTAACAACTGCCCTTGCTTCTGCCGCTCCCGGACTTCGGGTGACACGGTCAATTTTTCCAGCATGCCAACTTATTGGGGTAATCCTTTCCATACCACCCTTCAACAAGTTCATTGGGGCAACTCCCACAAAAATCCCTTGGGTACTTCCCCCATCCCTCCTATTCTGACCAGCAGCATCGGCCCAACAAAACATTCCCAACGGGGTTTCTTCGGGGTGAGCATGAATCACCAGTTTGTGGTCTTTGCGGGATTTCGCCTTTTGAAGAAGTTTATTCGTTTGGTGAATAGTTTCAACAGAACTAACCGTGACATCCGACAGTAACAAACCAACCTCAGCTGAAAAATGTGATGCTACCTGCTGAGCGTGCCAGCTCAGTGCCCCCAACACTGCTCTCAGCAAGCTCTTCTCTTTTTCGCTGGTGGGTGCGTTGGCGTCCTTTCGCCTGGCCGCACTTAAACTGATTCCACTGACCTTATCTAAATACTTTGGTTGAGAAAGAAAGAAAGAGCCATCTTTTTGGGCTTCAATGAGAACCCCGCACTGCACAAAGGAATTCTCTTCCCAATCTGTCCACCTGTACTTGTGTTGAATCTTCTTTTCAATTTCTTGCCATTCTGGGTTGTCTGCAGGCCCAGCAAAAAGAAAATCATCTACATGGCCGGCTATCATGCCCGCGATGGAGCCATTTGGCTTCCATAGCCAGCAACATGGGTCGGACCAGGACTTTTGAAGTCCTAGTTCCTCCAGATACTCGCACACTGACTTGTACCACTCTAAAGGAGCGTCTACTAGGCCATAGCATCCACGTTTGATCTTTGTGATTTCTCCAGGTTTCAAGCCCATGGCTTGGCAGATCTCAGGACATGGTGTGCAGTAAAGAGTTTGTGGATATTCTCGACCCTGTAAAAAGGCACCTGTAACATCACCTTTGCGCACCCTCCATCTTTTTCTCGCAGCTTCATGCAGTAGGAGCTGACGTGTCATCCTTGTCATCACAGGAGTAGTGGTGGCTCTATGTTCGTAAGAAGGGTCTTGATATCCCTGAAGTATCGCTCTTGCTTTTGCTTTACGCTCTCCATCCTCTTTCAACTTCCAAGTAAGAAGCCATCGCATGCCGATGGCTTGCGATCGATCAGGTTTCAGTTCAGGCGGTAGAGCCTCGAATGCCTTTGCTGCCACAAAGTTTCGTACCTCTGCCTCTTTGGCCTCTTGAAACTGTTGCCGTTCAGATGGTGTCAAATGTTTCTCGTGTACTTCTACTGCTCGGCGCTTGAGGGCGCCCACAAAGAAAGTCTCAAAATCAGAAACGGCCTTCAGTAGGCCTCGGTGTGACTCCGGCAAGGGCACCTCAATGGTGACTGCCGCATGTTGTTGCTCCCAAAAGTCGGAACCCTCTGTGTTCTCCGGAAGCGGCTCTTCCAAGAAATTCCACCAAGCAGTTTGTTGTGTCTCAGTAACATGTGCAGTGGCTGATCCGCTGGAACGTGATGATTTTGATGGTGTAGGTTGAATGTTGGTTGTAGATTGTCTTGGTGTAGGTGGTCTTTTGGTGCTGTGTCTCCGAGGGCCTGGCTCAACAATCATCGGATCTTGAGCTGCTTCCCAATCCTCTTGTTCTGGAACATCCATGGAGACATCCTCATATTCATTGCCGCCCAGCTCTTGAGTGATTCTTGGAAAAGTCCATGGTGCTTCAGGTTCACCTTCTCCTAAATGTTCTAGTAATTCTTCTCGTTTTGACGCAGGCCTCAATTGCTCCACGCAGCACTTGATGACTCGGCGACCTCTCACGCACCAAACAGCGCTACCCTTCCGTAGAGCTCCATTGGGATCCCGCTTTGACTCAGTTGCCAAGATGTGGGCTGGACCCAAGAATTTTCCATTCTTGTTGGCTGGTTCACCTTTGATTTGTTTCCTCCAGTAGTAAATCAAATCACCAGGTCTATAGTCCATGAGACGTTGGCCTCTCGAGTTCAGGGCCTTCGTCACCTTTTGCTGTGCTTGCCATTCTGAAAGAGCCTGCTCAGCATGCTTCATTCTGTCAACATTCCGCTTGAACTCCCCATTTGGGTTTTCCAGTAAGACTTCAGGGAGTGGATTGCACAGACTGTGGATGAAACGACCTGTCTCATCAGGAGCTCGCCCTAAGGCGTGTTGTATGGGTGAGTATCCTCTCACCAACTCTCGGTTGTTGAAAACCCTCACCGACTCAGCTAAGGCTTCTTCCGCAGTCATTGTTGGGTCTAAGATCACCAGTTTTTCCATCAAGACCTTAAGGCCTTGTACAGCTTGTTCACATGTTCCTATAAACCAGTGGGCTTCGCCCGGTATGACGTCTAAGAAAATAGAATTGTCATCGCAAAAACGCTCGAGCTCTTGGCTGCGGAATGCCCCGGCCGGGTCAAGTCTGAGAGTGTTGGGACACCCAAAGTATTGCATCCAACCCTCCCGAAAATATTGGATAAAAAGTCCAGCACTCATGGTTTGTTTCTTCCCTTGTTTAAGAATCCGGGCGACACGAAAACGAGACCCTTCATCAATAATACAAGCAAATTCATACTCCTCTTGAGTTTGGGGGTGAACAAACTTGCCTCCATCCGCTGACACCACCGAAAATTTTGGGGGAAGAGGTTCAATAGAAGCAACATGTTTGGAATTGATTCTTTGTTTTTCATGACAAACAGAACAAGTAAACCGTTTGGCAGCTTCGATCACCTCAGGATTCGCCTTCCGCCTTTCAAGTGCATGAACCATGTTGCGAACACTTCCATGACCAGTAGCAGCATGTAATAAATAAAGTTTCTTATCAATCTCTTCAGGGGTCATTTTCCCAACAAAATGTTGCACATGAGCATGTTCATCAACCGCATGAGAACCAACATCCAAAAGAGTATTGTTTTGTTCCATGTAACATGCTCCACACTGGAAATCACTCCCATGTTCCCTCAAATGTCCGCAAGCACAAACAGGTCCTTCCCCAAACATTTGTGGTAAAACCGTGCGACCGGAAAGTTCCTCCATCAACAAGTTGTGGGACATTTCCTGGGTCATACATTGAGCCACCCGTTTCACGAAATCCATGGTGTAATAGGCCGTTAACCCCGTTAAACTCCCTTTACATTTGGCATGGGAATATCCTTTTGGGCACAAACATGGCATGTTCATGGTCTCCGCAAGTCTCCTATTCGTGCTCATGATTTTCCAACCCTTTTTGAGGAGATTTTGGGTTTTGGGGTCCCGAAGCCCAACACGACAACCCTGGGTGGTTCCAAAATAGGGGTCATACCTGGCAATCAACTTTTGCATGAAAGGCAACCGCCAACCCTGACAATATTGTGACCACTCCCAAGAAACATGGATTCCCCTTTGCACACAGTGCTGGTAGATGCAGCTGGCACCTATGTACTGTTTTAACGCGACTCGGCGTTTGTCCTGCAAGGCTTGAACCTGGGCTTCTGTTTTCTGATTGATCGCCTGCATTGGCGAATATGGTCCACAGTCCGGGGAAATCCAAACATGACTAGGTTTGCGACACTCAATAACATCAATGATTTTCTTCACCCCGGCAGAAGTCCCTAAGTCACAGCCATTCCAGTGGGAACATCGTACAGCAGCATCTTCGGAACACAAAAGTCTTTGAATTTCAGCACTCAAACGACTCTCAGGACTACACGCAACCTCAACCAAAACAGTGTCCCCCTTAGCAACCAAACCCTGAAAAGCTTGGGGGGCCATGTCCAAAGACTGCTTCTCCAAAAACCTAGCCATTGAGTCTGAAGTTCGGTCAGTGATCGGCTGATCAGCCTCATTCAAATCTACCGCAACGCCTGGTGCCTCAGTTGATGTAGCACAGGCCCTTGAAAGATCGCGGCTCCGGCTCATAGCTTCTCCTCGCGAGGAGTGATCACACCACCGGTGGCCTTCTTGTGGGGCTTCTCCTCCTTGAGGTGTTCTACTTCCTCTTTCAGGCTCTCGATGGTGTGCATCATAGTGGTCATCATGGCGATGGCCTGTGATGACATTGTGCTGGCTGCTGGTGGACTGTGACTGCGATTGGATTGGGACTTGCCCTTTCGTGGGCAAATCTTTGGCACTGGCTTCTTTGGGCCAGCAGTGACCTCCATCTCCAACCATCGGGCAAGGCGACTCAGGCGGTAATTGCATCCACCTTCCGCTGCCGTGGTCATGACCCACTTGCAGTACTCCGGCTGAGCAAGACGGAGCTCGTCGTAGGTCAGACTGGCGTGGGCTCCAAACCCCACGCCATCGGAGGGATGTGGCTTGGCAATCATGTAGATCTTTTCCAGCCCGGCCCGCTTCAACTGGTCGATGGTCTCGGAGCCAGAGATCTTGATGCCCAGAGAGTCCTGGCAAAATGCCTGGAGGTAGGCCTTCTTGGTGGCGGCCTTGTTGAGCTTGATTGTCCATTCCTGCAGCTCGGTCTTGACCCGAAGGGTCTTGTTGTCCAATCCATTCTCCTCCTTGAGCTCGGCCAAGCGTGTTTTGAGTTCCACCATCGTCCAACTGGAGGGAGGTGTCTCTCCCAGGGACTCGATGGCTTCGATGAGCTCGAGTTTGGTGGGCGCTTTCGACATGGTCGCTGATCGGTGGATCACAAAGAGGATCACGGTGCGAATCTCCTCTAGCTTGAGCTGTTGCGCTGCTGCTGCCATGCTGCTGTTGCTGTGGTTTCACAGGAGGAAAAAGATTGTGAGACATCAAAACATCATGATTGTTTCCCACTTGACAACTACCCATGACATCCGGATGTTTGACACCAACAACAGCACTACCATAATCATCAAAAACAATGTTTTTGTCAACCGTTTGAACACCACCAATTGAAAAAGTTTCGACTACTTCAGCCTGAACTTGATTGTTGACCTTCCTTTCCACCTCAGGCAAAATGTCAGGAAGGAGCTGTCCCTAGGAGCTACCTACAAACTCTCGCAAACTGGGAACCCTCTGATGACATGCTACAGCATCTCTGTACAGATCATCCGTCAGAGGCAGCAGCTGGTGGCCAGCCTGTGATCGTGTGGCCTGTATGGCCTTCTTGTCATCGAGAGCTCTAAAAACAATCAAATCAGACTCGAAATCAATCACTGCCTTCAGTGCTCGAAGTGTGGAAATTGAGAGCAGCACTGGTCCTTGCCCTCGATCCAGAGCGTGTACTTGAAGGACACCTGGCTTGGAGTCCGCATAGATCTTCATCTTGGCAGTGCTGACACAAGTGTCCACACTGCTGTTGCCAAAACCAAACTTCGGGGTGTTCTGACAATCCACCTCCAGGACACCTCCATCTTGGCGCTTCTTGAAGTTCTCCGAAGCGATGGCTTCGAGTGCATATGTGGAACCAATGGTTCGTGTGGCCCCACCATCTACGATGCCATAGCCTGCTGTCACAGCTTCCGCTGTGGTCATGAGAGGTGCTGGAGCTTCATCACAAGACATGGCCTGGTAGGCCTCAGTCGTGCCCTGGGTGAAGCAGACAAAAGGTGCTGCCTCTTCTGTCACCTGAGCTGAGGCACCACTAGGAGCCTGACGGTCTGGGCAATCTCGAACTCGGTGAGGGCCTCCGCATCGGAAGCATGCCATGCCCTGCTTCTTGTCTGTCGTCTTGGTCTCATAGGTCTTGGTCTTATAGTATTGGCGGTTCATCCGCACCTGGTGTTGTTTGGCTCGCGCTTCTTTCAAGGTGCGCTTGCCCTGCTGAATGAGAGCCAAGGCTTCCTCGGCCTCCTCGGCGGCTTGAGTGACCAAAGCCAAACCCTCATCATTCATGCCTTCATTCACCAAGGCATGTGCTGTCAGGCGGTTGGGCTCATCATCATCGCTGAAGACATCGTCGTGCCAAAAGCCATGTGCTTCTGGTTGTTGTCCCGCTGGACCAAATCGTCCTCGGGCCACTGGGCTCGCAACTCTTGAGCAATCCGCAGGAGACTGAAGTCGCCAGCCACTGCGGTCTGGATCATGTTCTTTTCCTGGCTGGTCAAACCTGAGTCAGCTAAGAGATACCATCCTTGCAAGAAGTCAGGTAGGAGCTCAGGAGTTTGAAGGGTCCAATCTTCATCTTCGGGATGATAGGACCTGGTGTAGGACGATCCCCACTCACTTCCACTTCGTCCATCCCGTGACTCCCGTCCTCCTTCCTGTCCCTCGGTGTTCTGGTCTTGGCCCTCCGTTGGCTCACTAGCTGCTTGACTTGGTTCTTCTAGAGACTCCTCTCCGCCTTCATAGCTATGTCGTGACGACCATGTTCCCCAATGCCATGACTGGTGCCACCCGCCTCGACCCCATTGATCGTGCCGATCTTGACGTCGGTCAAAAGCCTCTTGCACACGAGCTAAGGCCTGGCGAGCTCGGGCATAGGTCTCGGTTTTTCTCACTATGTAGGTGTTCATGGTCTCATGCTTCTGTCTCTTGCTTTGTCTGAAGTACCTGTTCAGGTGCTCTGAGAGTTCTGGTATTTGTGGTCGTCCCAGGTGCCTTCGAAGGTGGCCTAAAAAGTAGGCGACGCCCCCGTTGTAGGAGACCCAATCCGGCTTCTTTCCAACCACAAATTTTCTAGCCGTCCCCCCCAGTTCAGCTATCAAACGTGGTGCGCACAGGTACCTCTTGTGGTGTGCTATGGACTGCTCCCATTGAAGACACATGTCCTCGTATTCCTGGAACTGCGAAGCATCGCCATTCCACTGCGGAACCCCGTCTTTGCTTCTCATCACACTGGAACTCATCCTTCCACTTGTCTTCCAGGGGGGCCTGGCGCCCCTGGCTGTTCAACGTATTATTAAGCCTCGTCAGGCTCCGCTACCATCCAAGTGTGGATGGTCCCAGAGGTAGATAGCTGCAATGCCCAAGTATCCGCAATGCGGAATCAAGTGAAGATGGCAAAACGAAGAGGTGGCGATGCGACCTCGCTCAAATCCTTTTTCCTTGACCCCAAATGCAAACTGTCGTAGGCACGATGAAATCCGTGTGTTCGACTCAATTGAATGGACATGACAATTGCATAGCATACATGGATCCTATGGGATATGGAAAATCAACAGTGTTAGTTGGTAAATCAACGAAAGTTTTAAAAAAACTCATTCCATTTTCTTCCCAGCACCTGGGACAATCCCTAACAGTTCGCCAGTGCAAGGCTTAGGGCTCCTAATAGTCGCTGCACGATACATTTCTTGGTTCAGTTCATATACCATGTTTCGATGCTTCAATCTGTATCTTGTTCATTGAACCCCCATTTTTTCTGGAAACAATATCAAATCCCCCATGTTCGCTGTCTCAAATTTCATCCTCAATCTCATAAGTTTCTGCAGGTTAAAATCATAAAATCATAAATGCTCTCTGGTAATTTGTTGCATAGCTATTAAACATGACCATTTAGGGAATTCTATGATGTTACATCTAATATATGTTCCAAACCGTTAAATAGACGATTTTGACAACACAAAACAACCATTCTTGTGGCACCAACGGCCATGGACTCCTTGAGCTCCTTGTGGGCGCCCGGCTCTTGGTGGTGAGTGGATCCCCCAGATAGTCATCCCCACATAGCTACCCTCTGGTAAACATACAAAAAACTATGGAAAATCACCATGCTATTAATAGGAAAATCCACTATTTCTATGGCCATTTGAAAAATAGCTACGTTGAATTACCCGAGGGTATTGAAAATTGCCATAGAAATAGTGGATTTACCCACTAAAAAGGATGATTTTCCATAGTTAGGTTAGTTTACCAGAAGGTAAATAGCAAAGTAGGATCCTATAGTAAAATAGTGACTGTTGTAGGTATATTCCCTGAAAATTAGACCTAAAAAATAGGCAAAAAATACATGGTAGGTACCTCCAATCAATCGGTTCCTGTTGCATGGCCATTGAATGGATATAGATATTATATGTCTATATACATACTTATAGATATACATATGTATATATATATAATATCAGTTACCATCAGTTACCATCAGTTACCATCATCTATGTATTAGATAATTTGATGATTAATGATAATTAGATATCTGTTCCGCCATCAAGCATTGCTTATATATATATATACCATCATAGATATCATAGATATACTTATACTTATATATATATATATGTATATTTATATACCATCAGTTACCATCATATATATATACACCATCATAGTATAACTATATATATATGATATCGATGATATGCTATTTATATATTTTTATACCATCAGTTACCATTATATATATATACCATAGATATACTATGTATATTTTCCATATATATATATATATGTATATACTTATAAATATAAATATATCAATAAGAAGAAATAATCATACATAAGTATACCAATGTATTTATATCTATACATTGATTATTTTATACCATCATACAATGTGAGGCCCCCAAGATATAAGTTGGTTTATAAGCCCCAGTAACTATAGTTATAAATACCATAAACCATAGTTATTGGAGTTATAAACCAACTTAGCTATCTTGGGGGCCTCACATTGTATGATGGTATAGTATAGATATATCAATAAGAAGAACTAATCATACATAAGTATATCAATGTATTTATATCATTTATATCTATACATTGATTATTTATATCTATACCATCATAGATACCAATGTATTCTATCCCCTTCAATGATGTTTCCTCCGTTCAGCGAGGTGAATCGTAGCAACGTCCGGCGGTGGATCCCAGATGCACCGGAGGAGATCGGCGGGATCGGCTGGTGGCTGGGGTTTAAAAGAGAACCATGGGAAAAGCATAGGAAAAGCATAAGAAAATGATGTTTGGACCAGCAAACATGGGGATTTCGTGTGAATTCATGGGATTTGTAGCTGATTTGTGATAATTAGTTGCATAGTTGCTGCAAAGAACCAGGTGAATTAGATGGGTTTCTCACCTTAATGGGGGCGCAACAGCACAGGAGCTCTTTCGCATTCCCTATGAAGCCGCTGAATCTGATGCCATTCGCACTCCGACTGATCTGGGGGTCGGCACTGGTCGGCCGTGCTTCCTGCGTGCTGTTTCGGGCTGGAAGTGTGCCATGTTGATCAACACGCTAACCATCCACAGTATCCAACAGTGTTTTTGCCACCATGTGTCCAGCGGAGCTCCACAGATTCCCAAGAAAATGAGTTCAAGCAGAAAGAGATCAAGAAGTGCGGGGTTTTCGTAGGCTGCTCCTTCCGCTCGTTGTTTTTGTTTAAATGTTTCAATAGTGTGTTTGAAGGCTCACTGTGATGTCTTATGTGATACTACTCCCATTTTCTGTCACTTTAAACACAAGGAGCATCTAAAGTAGGATTTGTAAGCTGGCAGAGCCACTTGGAAGCTGACAGAACATGACATGTGTGCGGTGTTGTTTGCATCAGACATTGAACAATCACTCAATCAAGCAAACACTCACGATCCCTGCGGGGTATTGAGGTCCAGTCGACAAACAATAATACAGAAGCTGTTTATATGAATGAACTTTCATGGTGAGCCTGTTTTGGTGATTGCATCATTCATGAAACCATGATGATAACGATCATGATGATACAAGATGATACAAGCATGTTTGTTGCTGAGTGAAACCATTAGTTTGCACGGGGAAACACGGCCAGGTTTTGTTTTCACCCTGATTGTTGGTCAATCTTCCTACTTGTTTCTTAGATGATCACAGACATGCCATGATGTTTGTTAGGGAAGTCCAGGAAGTTTTCATAAGAGGGAAGTTCATGATCAACCAGCTGGATGAAATGAGGTATCCAAATTTGAGGCAAACCCATTTATGATTGTTAATGTAAACGTCTAAGTATCCAATTTATGTTAATGAATTCAACCCATGAATATGAGGTATCCAATTTATGTTAATGTTTGAATCCATGATTGTTTCTTCGTCTTCGATCGAGATCATATACCTTTAAGATCATTTGAGGTCCCCATTACCCCAGCAGAAAAGACCACATCCCTCACTAAGCTGCGCTGCGCGTCGCGCTGTGCGCGTTCCGGCCCAGGATATGCCTTGATTTATCACAATGGCGGCATCTACATGGACACGGACTTCTTAGCCATCGACATGTCCTCAATCATTGATCCTTGTGATGGATCGAGAGAAAAACCATATACCCTCTGGTAAACTAACATACTATGGAAAATCACCATTTTTACAGGGAAAATGAACTATAAATGGCCATTTTCAATATGTCAAATTCCCAGAGGGTAACAGATATATATCCTTAGCGTTTTAGCACAACGATCGATCATGTGGCATCCGGTGATCTTAAATGATAGAGATCTAGGAACGGATGGAGATGGATTCAAAGATGTTTTGCTTCATGGATGTATTTTGCTGCGGGTTCTTAGTTGCTAATCCATTTTTTTTGTGTGCTGTTAGTTGCTAATCGAAATTATATATTGGAACGACCAAGGCGACTAAGCCCACATGTTTTCTTCGTTGATGTGATAAAACCACCTTTCCGCCCACCAGCTGGTTGCTCAAGATGTCTCGGTGTTGATGGCGCTGGATGAAGATTTTTTCCTTGGTGCACTGCATGTCTCATTCTCTCATTCAGCATCAGGGAAACGTGCAAGAGGTATCAACAGGTACCTTTTTGTTAACATGAAATATTGTACTACAGATATCTACAGACTACAAAGAACTGCTTTCTGAGGTTTTCTGAGGGCCATTCAGAAGATCACTGGTTGGTGGTTTGGAACATGAACGTTATGACTTTCCCTTCAGTTGGGAATGTCATCATCCCAACTGTTACTCACTCATATTTTTCATAGGGGTAGGTCAACCACCAACCAGAATAGATAATCCATATAGTCCATATAATCCATATAGTCCATATAGTCTATGTATAATCCATTATACGGAATTATATAACCACCTTAACCAGATCATTAAAAGAGCTTTAATTGATGTTCATTCCGAGGGCCATCCATTGCCATATATTCCTTTCGCTGATTTTTTTTCTTCGGATCCCAGGATCGGATTCCGGATCATGACATCATCGGCTACACCGCGGAGTACCAAAGCTTTCACAAGGGCCAGTTCCTTGACGACTTCTGTGAGCGGAGCGGAGCGGTGCTGCGGGTTGCGGAGAGCGAGTTGTTGGATCCGGGACAATCATTCAGCCCACAGATTTTAACCATACGAGATATTACATGTTTTTCTTTTTATGAAATATAATATAGATATATCTAGACCATAGAGGTGTATGTTTGAATCTTCAATCTGGTTTGGGATCTATTTTGGAGAGGTCTTTTAAATAGATTGTGCGGGTATTCACTCAGCCTTGGGGCCCATAATCATGGGCCCCAGGCTCGTGTCATTGAAGCCAGGGCCAGATATAGTTGTCTTGAAATTGTGATCTTATACGTTGTATTTTCTCAGTTGACCGATATTTCGAAAGGGTTGAAGAGGGTTGATTTCTTGCTTATCATGTTGAAGTCACAATGTAGTTGTTTTGAAGACTTCTTCGGAATCTTTGTTCTTTTGAAGAGTATATTCAAACTTTGGGCCATGTATAACATGATGTTTTCTCTATGGAAAAAGGAGGTGTTCGATTTTCTGTCAATATGGTCGAAGAATGTTAAAGATATGTTTCTTTTTACTACTGTCGAAAACACTTTCCGAGACACAGATCACAATCCTGAGTGGAACAACTTGCAAATGCAAGCTTGGATGATTTCGCTTTGGTGATGAGTGTGTAATGCATATCTCTGCTTTTTGCATGGCTGTTTCTACAGATCTAGACATGGTTGCCTCCATCCTTAAGTATTTCAGCAACATGTCAACCTATGTCCAAAATGCACTGCTTCAGGGTCATGATTCACCAGTGAATTTAGGGTTCGAGAGACTAGTGAGATCAATGAACTTCACAATAGACAACGCATCTATACCCTCTGGTAAACATACAAAAAAACTATAGAAATCACCATTTTCAATGGGAAAATCCACTATTTCTATGGTCATTTTCAATAGCTATGTTAGTCATTACCAGAGGGTAGATCCTCCTCGCAATATCCCTTGTTAAAGGCCGAGCCCTTGGATGTCTGATGAAATCGATCGCCTGTTAGAGGGCCCTTTGGAATTGCCATGAAATGGCGCATTTAGCCGATTTTTTCTAGGCCCACAGCCTGCTTAAGGGAAACATCTGGATATCTCAACGCCATCGATTTTCCGGTTTTTCATTGCTTGGAGTTCACCAAGAAAAGGTAGTGCCCCCTAGCGAAGTTGATCGAAGTTGATTTATAACTCACACAACTAGGGTTTCTGGTCGATTTATCGAGCAATTGTATGAGTTTTTGTTCACAAATCTTGCGAAGAGGGGAGATTGATCTGAGGTTTAGTTCCAACTTCCTCGCTGGGAAGAAGGGCAGCAAGGTGATGGGAGCGATTTGGAAGGCTCAGAAAGAGCCACTGGGACGGACGCGGATCGGAGAGGAAACTACAGCAGCGAAGATTATGAAGCACCCGTTGAAGATCAGCTCAAACTTGGAGAAAACCGACATACAATGGATGATAATGGATGGAACAAATCCGAATCACCAGTTGATAAGTGGTAAACATCCCATTGTTTATACGGTTAGAACTATCCAACCTGGTGCAGCGTTTCTTCCAGCCACAGTAGGAACGGTGGTTCCAAAGAAGTTTTCATATTCAATCTCTATCAATCTCTATGTCCATGATGTTGGACGAGGATTCTAGGTGTGGCGCAATTCATGACGCTTCGAATTGCTGTCATCAGCCCCGGAAACATACGTACTACCTTTTTATATAAATATATATGACATACTACAACTGAATATATATATAATATACATATACATATACATATATACTGAATCTATATATACATACATAATTTCATAATTGTACATATACACGGCACGACAAAACATCACACAGACTCCATCATGTCCTATAATTCCACCCATCCTTTCCCGTGTTCGTCCCTTCCCCGTAAGAACGGAGCACCTCCAGGGTTCCCATCTTTCAGTCTGCTGCACAACGTGGTGCCCCAGTTATAAGTTGGTTTTTAACTTTATAACCCCAACCAACTAGTTCGAAATATCCACCATGAATTAGCGATGCAGAAGCCGGGATCCGCTGAGGCGTATGCAGAAGCATTGCGCCACTTATGAGCCGGAACCGAAGTCTGGAATGTGCTGCGGCCCGGCGGCCATTGTTTTCAAGTCGATGTGGCGTGAATGATGGATTTTAAAAAGATCAACCCCAATCATTTCATAAATCCATGGCATATCCAATCATGGATATCCCAATATGTAGATACCAATCATTGAATTATCATTGATATGATTCACTATTGAGCGTCCATCTTTAAAAACTCTGCCACTTAAAATTGGGATCATTCATCAGTCGTCACGCTTTGTCCATCAACCAGCCACGTTTGTGGGAAAACTGCAATGAAGTTTGCAGTGATAAATCTCATCCGTGCTATGTTATGCGATTGGATATGTATGTTTTATTCACATATACATATGTATGTATAATTATATGTATATATATATATATATTATTTTATTTTGTTATATCATAAATGTATATATTATATTTTATTATATCATAAATGTGTATGTATATATATATGCATCTACATATACATCCAGCCCCTATCTTTGGCAATCAGTCCTGGTTTGCTGGAAATCCCCATTTGCTTCGACAAATTTCTCAGCTAGCCCATGTAGATGATTACAGTCCCATTATACATCATTATACTCACTATAAGCCCCCATTATATCATATATTCCATTGTATCCACAGTATACCACCATGATCAATCAATGTATACAGTTATAGGATACCACCATAATTATATAATTCCATTGTATAATTAGCACCCATTGTATCCACAGTATGCCATCATGTTTGATGCTTCACCATTCCCTGGGCATGTCTCACTGCTACCACTGGAGGCTACGACGATCCGACGCGGCTCTGCTCGGTGCGCTGGGCTGGGCTGGGCGAAGGCATCTCGCACCCCGCGGTGAAGCAGTTGATTCACAGCGCCTCGGACGCGCCGGGCGGTTGCACCGGGCGGTTGCACCGGGCGGTTGCACCGGGCTAAATGGATGGTTTCTACTCAGTTTCTACTCTGAAAAAAGAACAACCACTCCAATGTTTGGTGAATGGTTTCTAAATCATGTGATTTTAGTGGGAATCTCGGAATATAACCATTAATAAGGTTTTAACCAGCACAAATCAGCGTAATTATAAATGCATGGCGAAACAAATTGTCCAACATGCAACAGGGTGGGCGGGAACTCGTGGTTTTTGCTGGGTTTATGGTTTACCCATCAAACATAGGGGCATAAGCAACCAACCAAAAGAATGGTTGTGAGTTCAACCATCAAAAATATTCAAAATAGGATATGATAGGTATAACCAACACTTCAGGGAAATATCATGAGAATATAATGGGATATAAGTGGGGAAACTGACTATAGATGGACAGGCTACTCGGACTCCTACCTATGTCAGCCAAAAACGCCGGAATCTAAGATTGACTGTGTTAAGTACGAATAAGAATCCTACTAAAAGAATCTAAAACAGTGGAAACAAAAATATCTGTCCTTTGGTGAGTGATAACTATCATACGTTGATCATCGTTGATAGTTGAATGGGGAATACGATACCCAGCCTTTTTCATTTTGACACGGTATCTATACAAAGGGTTAATTAATGATTCCCCTTATTTTTTTGTAGTTCCAACTTCCAACGGTCGCAGTTATGACGGTAATTATAACGATATAATTATACATATATATATAGTACAACCCCCTTCGCGGTCCTATCAACAAAAATTAGGTGTTTCAATCCTGGGTTTACTTCAAAAAAAATTGGACTTTTCTTGGTGAATGATCTTGCAAGTGCCATGACATCTTCTGAAGGGTCTAAGAATGGGCTGCTTGTGGCACCCTTTGTTTAACACTCATGAATTTAAGTTGGGGAAAAGTGGAGCTGGGGTAGTAGAAGTAGTAGCTGGGGTAGTAGCTGGAAAAGTGGCATCAGCAACTTCGAGCATAATTCTGTGTCTTTGCCTGCTGAAAATGCCACCAAGAGGAATACCCCTCTACCTCGTATTTTGCTGGTATTTGGTACCTCTTGGCATATCTACCCCTGCAATGCACATATTAAAGTCAAACTCCCTACCTACAACATGTTCCTACATATATATATATATATAATCCCTTATAGACCCCTGATAAACCATGTTGCTATATAATATGCCTGTATACTACCTATATACTATCTACATGCTATACATTTACTATTTATGCGCTATCTACACAAAACCTATATTCTATCTAAATACTATCTAGAGGCCATCTACGGGATCTATATACTACATATATACTATCTATATATGCTACCTAGATTCTATCCTATATTTCTACTACCTATCTTATATATGTACTTTCTTATGTTTTTTTTTGCAAATCGGATATATATATATATATATATATATTGTACAGTATATACCTACACATACCTAGTATCTTATACTATCTTGTGTCAATATGGCCTCACACACCGGACCGCACCCACCCACAGGGAGCGGGGGGAAGGGGAGGGAGAGAGAATCCCCACTACATATACCCACTTATATACCTACTGTATATGTAATCATGTGTATCTATCTATCGATCTATTTATCTATCTATCCTTTACTTATATACCTACCCCACAGGGGGGAGGAGGAGATCACCGGTACCTATATATATATATACCTATATGAGCTCATGCATGTCTATATATTCATTTACCCCCTATATGTGGATCATCACTACCTTTGTACCTATATATACCTATATATGATCACATATCCCTATATCCTATAGACCCCATGGATCTGTAGACGTACAGTATTCCCTCATGGGCATATATGATCACCTACCCACAGGGGGGAGGGGATCCCATACACTTCCATACCCCCATAGTTACATACCCACCCGCACCCACCCACCCACAGGGGGGGACGGGGATCATCACTACCCCTGGACCTGTAGACCCATACCCTTTGGGGGGGGGTGGGGTGGTGGGGGAAAGGGATAGCTGCATCATATATATATATACACACATACTGATACTGCAACAATAAGTGGTCTGATAGACTATGTATATATATATACATATATATATATATACACACACACATACACGCACAACACTATGGTAAGATGGTGGCAAATTCATGTTTTGTTGCAAATATTCCTTGAAATCAGCCCAGCCATACTTGGAGCAGCTGAAGATCCCATGGGATTCAGTTTTTTCCTTTGGTGGTTGGTGGTTCTTGGAAGTTCTGTCCATTGACTGGTCTGTATTTAGGATGGGTTATGCAAACAGTGCCCCCCCCGACAGCAGCGTTTTCAGGCAATGTCTCCTTCAAGAGCTATATGTTTTCGGGTGACGAAAGCTTTGTTCCGGATGGCATCTCTGGTGTTGGTTTCAGATGGTTTCAGTATGTTGCTATTTTTAAGATATCAGGGCTGGCTGTACCAACAATCCGAGCGGGTAAAACTGAGCCTTTAGCTGTTTGATGTTTGGGTAGAAGTATCGAGCACCATTTGGAATGTGTTTGGCAGTGGCAAGACGGAGGACATGAGAACCGTGTCTCGTTCGTTCAATGAAAGATTTCTTCTGAGCTGCCAAAAATTGACAAGACACAATCAGTTCATTCCAAAAAGATCTGACTGCGGCGAACCATCAAAGAATAAGGCCCCAGGAACCAACAGATTTTCGCCATGATCCAATGTTTGGTTGGCAGAACTCCGTGTGGCTTTGTGGCTCCCTGATTTGACATCAGGATTGGTGGAAGTTCTCAAAAAGAAGATGAGCACCACTGACGCCCTGAAACTGGGCATCAAATGGCCACGACTTTGAGGATTTTTCATGAACCATCCCATATGTAAATCACTTATCGGCTGCGACGAGGAACTACTGGAAGCGGCGTAAGGTCCAAAAGCCGCTGTCCAGAAAGTTGTCCCTTGGACGTCGCGGGGGAGCTGAAAACAGCACAAAAAAACGATGTGTACTAGATGTCGCTCTGTCAGGCCCGGAAAAGCGAAGATCTTTTGTATAATAAATGATAACAAAAGATTATGCAGTACCCATAGGATCAATGTATGGTATATATGCTAACATTTGGGGTATATTGATGGTAAATGTTTCCCTTTATAGCATACATGGATCCTATGGGGTATATATAATTTATATATATATATATATATTATATATTATATTATATATATATTATATGTATATGTATGTAAGAAATATAACTATAATCCAAATATGTTTGGGACCACCTTTTGATGCTCAGTTCAAACGAGCTCAGGGGCCATCCGGATAGTCAATGGCTGATCTCGCTGAATGGAGCCATTGGGATCTTTACATACCCCAATAGCTGGATGGTAATGGGATACCCTGTTAAAATGGATGATAACTAAGGGTACCCCTATTTTAGGAAACCTCCTAATATAATTGCAGCTTAGTGGATTGCTAAAAAAAAAACTGGGTCTGTCTGAAATACTCTGAAATGTGGTATACCCCAAAATTATCATTTAATAGGGACAATGATGATTAGCCAGAGGATTCAGGGATGCCGTCTTTTCACCATTCAAACCCAATTCATCCAGGTCCATCACTTCCTACCGTTCCTGCCAGTGTTTTCTTGGTTGAGGGTGAAAAACGTGGGGAAACCCGGTACAAGATCACCTAAGTCATAGCTGGTGAAATGTTGATTCCCCCAGAAAAAGAACGGGTCAAGTTATAGCAGAATTTGACCCATTTTCACTGAAGTTCTGCAGTTCGTCAGGTATCATTTGTTCAACTCTCAAGGCTTTGCTGACGCTTGGCGTTGAGAAATCCATGCTGGAAAACCTGTCGCCAAGTACTGGTTGAAAATATATACATCAAGAATAGATAAAGATTGAAGAATGATAAAGATACTTGTTAAAGCAAGTTTAACCATCCGCTGTTTTATGAAAACTGGTGGTTTAACTACTTACTGGAGTTAGAATATGTTAGAACAACTGGCTGGTGGTTTTACATATTTTAGTTTTCATATAATCATCTGTGGGACACTCTTTCAGCCCGGTTCTTCCCAAAATGGTGGCACACCAAAAACCACAAGATTGGGGCTGGAGTAGATTCTTAGATGGTTCACTTCTTAGTAGCCGTGGCCAAAATATGCCTGAAACAAGCAGCAAAAAGTGTGGTTCTTGACCCTGTTGCGGGTAAGCCCTGGACTTTGGTTTGGTAGATGAATAAACTTTGCTTGGGTTAATTATACTGTGGTGTATTTGATAATGATGGTTGGTTAGTGGTTATATGGGGTTATACTATACTCGATATATTGGGGACTGTCACTATCCAAGAATCCATGAGCAGGGAAATCCGTTCTTAGCCAGCCAGTTTTTTAAGGGACGACCTGAGTTTGCTTAAGGTGATGTTGTTTTTTAAATCAATTTTATGGTTGGGGGAAAAAAACAGGATTGGGGAATTGATTGTATAAGGGATATTAAGAGATTTTCGTTTGTTGCCATAAATCGTAAGTATGTCCTACCCCCACTGAGATCCCTATCCTAAACACTCCGTCACCTAACTTTGGTTTTTGGTAATCCTTGTAGTCCAGAAATAAAAGTTATCCTGTCAAAGTTTGAAGAATCACTACGCTTAGTACCCACATTACCCCAAGTTACATTTACTTCCTAAATCTAATGGTCTGCCAAGTTCTACACCAACTCCCTTCTCATAAGTCGCATATAAACCACCATTATTGTCACTTCAATCCAGATTTTCGCAAGTGAACTCCCCCATTTGGGTTGTTTAAGCCGAAGCCACCCTGCAGACTTTCACAGCGCAGATCTTCAGGAAGAGAGCCCGCTAGATGGGCAAGTTGCTTTAGAACTCAGCGAACAAGTGGATGTATGGTGGCTATATCAGTTACATCCAACAAGTTAAACGGGTTTTGAAGCCAACTTACATCACTTCAAGAATATTTAGTTGCGATTAAACACATACAGTAATAATAATGATCATCATCACGGTTATGTCTATAATCTATATAGTGTAGTTACTGTATATCTTATATTATCGTGGCATCACAAGTCTAAGTTATACATAGTCTACATAGTTATACAATACTTCGTTAAAATCGATGCATCTCGGAATCTTCTTTATACCTTTACTTGGGATTATAAGTACCAGAAGTTCACATGTTTGCATCACTTTCGATCGATGCCTGCTCGGGGGTGCATCCCACTTAGCAAATGGGCTAATTATCTCAGTTATGAATATCCCCATGGGGCGAAATATGTAAGGCTTGTGGCTGTGGATGATCATCCGATTCGTGGGATCTTCTACGATCTAATTTACTGGTGCTAAACGCAGGGAATTTTCGGGAATGATCCATAATCACTAGTAATAATCATCCCATCAACCCCCAGCAACCCATCCATTCCCTACGTAAAACGCACCAGTAAGATGATAATATCCCAATGATTTAAGAAGGGATATCTCATCCATTCCCCAAAAAAAGCACCATCCCTACGTTTAGCACCACTCATATTTTTCAGGGGGGTAGGTCAACAACCAATCAGAAGATCTTCTAAGGATGGATATTCCTGTGTGGATTTGACCAACGACACCAGCTCTGTGGCGGGTGAGCTCTACAAGCGCAGCAAGGTGCAACGGCGTGTGGCGCCGCACGGACGTCACAGCAAGAGACGCGGCGTATTGCGGATTGCGGATGGGACGGGGACGGTGGTGAGACTATAGTAACTTCCCAAAAAAGGATGGAACATGGAATCTTCACTATTTTTATGGGGATTTAGTTTTCGATATGTTTTTTCCTGGGATATAATATGTATATATATATATATTTATATATATATATATACAGTACAATAGATCACTTTTTGACATACGATGTTTGATAGATATGAAATAAGAAAAATCTAAGCGAAATTTTGGCGGAGTTCAAGCTTCTATTTAGATGTTGAATGGTTACTTTGACTTTTCGAAAGATGTGCATTTCACCAGGCATTTTCTAGGGATTTTGACCACCAACATCTCGGTTTTTCTACACGTTGATGGGACATCACTCAGGGATTCTCCAGCAAACCTTGGAAGTGATTACCAGATGCTATAGGGATGTAGGGTATCCACGACTAATCATTATTTTCACTATTATAAAGTTATTACTATTAGATCTATCAGTTACTCGGGAATCCTATCACTATGAAAATTATCACTATTAGTCATCATTTAATCATTACTAATCACTATTGCCAGTCCGTAGCAGTTTCCGCGATCATCACCTTTTGTAGGAGTGGTGTTTTAATAGACCAGGACCAGGGTTGTTCCCGAAGAAAACTGTGTGGGTCAGGAGCGTTCTTTAAAGGGCCCAGGGCATTTACAGGAACCAAATCATTGGGATATTCATTAAATCCAAACACAACTGACTTAAGTGAGACTTATTTGATTCACCAGAAGTGTACATCCATGAGCTACATGGGGATATATGGGGATGTACGGATCGGGAGCCAATGTAGATTGGGGACAGCCATATCTAGATTTGTTGATCCCTGATTTTGTCCCTTCACGTGAAGATTGTACAAAGGTAGACTGGACACGAAACAGAACGAAACTATATAGAATATATAGACCGTGTGGAGGGAAGAAATCTTGCTGCTAGTCTCATATATGTGTATTCCCACTCGTGCTTGGTATGACTAATCAAACATAATCCAACTAATTGCTTGACTATCCTGAAGTGAAAAGCTCACCACTTTTTGATGGAGTCGGTTTCACTCCTAGCTTTTTCCAAGACGGACTGTGTGTGTGTGTTTGCGCGTATCCATGTGTTTTTTTTCATACAATATACGTAGGACACATGCGTCTTCATGTCGTTGGGAAGAGTATCAGAACCCAACAGTGCGGAACATTGGTCTTTGTTGATTCTATAATATAAATATATATATATACAATTATATATATATATTTACATATATCCCACCATATCTCAAAATATCCCCATTTCCCATTGAACCCACTAGTTTGTGTTGGTTTCTCACTATAAGGAAATGTGCGAACGATGGCAGCCTCTGTAAATGCTCTGGAATGGTCTTCTATGGTCGACGATGCCTGGTGTGAATGAATGGAGGGTCGACCGTCATCGCAAGATGTCAGGGTCAATGGTTTGGTTCGTACAAAGAGGATCCTCCCAAATGTAAATTGGTTCATGTTCACCCCATCCACCCGCAGATACATCTACAATAACCATCAGTTTGATATATAACAATAACAACAACAATAACAACAACAATAATAATAATGTATGATATATAATATATACACACACACACTATATATATATATATATACTGAAGTAGTCCACTTGCTACTGTATCATTGAAGGGGTTGTAAAGCTCAACTTGCAAGGCCAAACTCTTACCCACTAAACATGGTGACAATTGCTCATCCGCGTTGTAGAATATATATATATATATCTTTTCAACACCAAGATCCACCACCCAAACCACTTTGATGGGATATCGCGTTATATCAAGGTTATATTCCCAGCTGCTTGTTGTACTTGACTCCAGCAAATTTGGCAGCTCAATCACTCAATCAATTCCGAAAATATGATTAAACATGATTAAACAAAGTGTTTAACATCTTTTAACCCCAACAACTTTGGCCAAATGAATGGTTTCCTGCCATCATATCCCAAGGATTACTGCTAAAAACATCCTCATGGCTTGCTGGTGAAATCGCCCCGTATACAGCCGCTGTTAGCCATTTTTTTCGGGGAAAGTAAATCACGACCTCACTGCGATATCACTGTAACCATGGTTGATCATGTGAATAGGCTTGTTTTTTGGGGTACCCTCTGGTTAACATAGCTATTGAAAATGGCCATTGATAGTGAGTTAAAAATGGTGATTTTCCATAGTTATGTTAAATTACCAGAGGGTAAGTATCCCACAGTGACCATATTTCAGGTGGATTGTTGCTTCGAGGTGGTGCCCCAGTTTGCTGATCCCCCAACCTAGTCGGATTTATCTACCATAAGTCAGCGAAAAAAATCCCACGAAGTGCCCATGTTTGTTGCTGCATGCCATGTTGCTGAAACATGGTTCAACCATGGTTAGACCATATGTTAAACCACCATTTTCCTATGGATGTTCTATGGTTTTATACGTTTTATTCTTTTTCTATAGGTTTTTCTATGGTTTTCCTCTGGTTTTCCTGATGTCTTCGAGGATTTGCCTGCCACGGCGGCGCTGAGACGGACCTGGCGCTGCTGACGCAGAGTCAGCATAGCGTGGCTGGGCTTGGCTGGGACCCTGCGATCCTGGGATGCTGGGTGATATTTTTGTGAAGTGATAATGTATTAATGTATATTGATGTTATTTAGTGATAATATTAATATAGTGAGATATGGGGGTGATTTATAGACTGATCATATAGTGAGCAATAGTGACGAATAATGATGAATGATGATTCATAGTGATTAGTTGTGACAATAGTGGGAATTCTTGATAAATTGCAATAGAGATTAAAATTGTGATTGGAGAGAGCGGTTTGGAGCCATGGGTATGAACATTTCCCATTTAATGGCTATGATTTCCCTATTTTTCCCTATCATTTCCGGAACCAAGTAGCTACAAAAAGAGTTTGTCGATGTCGACATGTATGACTGTGAAGAACTAGGAATTTCACCATGCAAAAAAAATGAGATTTAATCGAAAAACAGATATAAAAAAGCGGGGTTCCAACCATATTGTGAATTTATACAGCATAAAAAAAAAAAACAACCATCAAGCGGGGATTGGAACATCAACTTGGAGTGAACTGGATGAAGCGGACCAAAAGATCATGCGCAAACAGGCCTCGAGTCTCCGTTGCCGTTGTGGGTTTAATCATGGTGAGTTCAACAAGAAATTGGGGCCGGCATGGATCAGATGGTAATACGAGGGACCGCAATGACCACAAGGACAAACACAGGAAGAACAAAACATGCCCAAAAGCGATGGCACCTGGTGATGCTTGGAGTCCTAGTTTTTACAATCGGGATTAGTAGAATCCTAACCAAGAAGCTAGTCTAAGGGTACCAACACGTACGCATGTAAGTAAACTATTTAACACCTCATTTTGGGTAGGGACTTTCCACCAACCACACCCGATTTCGAACCGAGCAAAACCCCAAGTGGGCAACCGCAAATGGCAAAGTAAATGCTTGGTCAAGGGGTGATAATGCTACCCCTGGATCTACAAATAAAGCTTTGCTGTATGCGTATCTGATCTACTAGACAATCGGAGGGCGTGTGTAAGAGAAAGTTATCACTTTCCCATAGGATCCATGTATACTATATATGGTAACATTTACCATCAATATACCCCAAATGTTAGCATATATATATATATACCATACATGGATCCTATGGGTTTTGGTTCTTAGGGGTGTAACCCAGATATACCCGCCGTTGTGGCACTCAGTGTTTCGAGCTCCGTATCGCACCCCTTTGGCACGCTCCAAGGTTCGAGAGGTTTCCTCTGCAATTCGATGCAACTTGGTGGCGTCCGGTCAGAGCTCCGGAATGACGGGCTGGCCTTAACTGTGGTGAGAAAAATATGTTGGGAATTACCATCTGGTTATGACTAACAGTTCGCCATGGAAAATCCCTTATAAATTAAATGGAGGTTTATAGCTGGGAAAATCATCTATAAATGGGCCATGGAACTGCCTATATAAGCCAACTTTATGGCAAATATGCTGGGAATTACCGGATCAGTATTACCGGATCAGTATAATCCAAATTTGCAAACTTTGCGGTTTTCTAGATTTATATGACGTTCTCAGCACAGTATGATGCAGTGTGCATTCAAATTCCACTTGTTTGTGATTTGGTTCATTCGTGGCTGTATGTGATTGTCAGGGTTTTAAGTCTTAAGTCATACCCCACTTCCCAAGGAGCTTCCAAGACTGATCATCAAAAAATAAATGCAAGTGGCCCAAGCAAGCTTGCTTCCAAGTGAATGTGCAACGTCCCTACAAAAAGGGGCATGATCATTGTACTGAAGGATGGTTGACATGAAGTCCTTAATATTAAGGGGTTGTGTTTGAAGCCGCCGTCCTTTTTTCGCTGGAAGATGAAGTCATTTCACTTACCCCTCATTTTTACAACAAAGGAATATGTGTGAAGATGAAGTTTATCACTTATATCGGTTTGGGATGGCTCAAACAGATTGAATGAAAAAAATATCAGAATTAGCAGGCATCATAGAATGCATTGGTCAAGAACAATGGGTATTGGTTCTGGTGCAAACTATTCGTCTCGGAGGGACTCTTTTGTGTTGGAAGAATCTTGAATCTTGGCACCACTTCCAACAAATTGTGTCTCTTGCTCCATATGTACATCACTTGCAGATGCACAACCAACCGTGCTTGGCATTGGTCCCAAGCAACCCTTTGATACAGGTGGCATGCTGGAAAATGGTCCATATTAATAGTATAATAATATGGTCTGTTAACGTACCTATTGAAGACTTAAGGACCATGTATCATTGTATAATTGTAGATTTATATCTACCGTGTATAGATTCTCCAAACATGTAGTTATGTATATATGTACATAGATACACATATACATTTATTTATTTATTCAGAATGTCATAATGTATATAATAGATGATCGTAACATTGAACAAAGAGTTTTCCCTCTTCCCAGTTTCTCCTGGCAGGGTGCACGCATCTATGTTGAATTTCTCTACATATCACAGCACACTTAAGCTTTATTTGCCTCCATTTTGGGGTGGTTACCCTGTACACTCATATTTGTTTGATGTTTAGATCATTTTCCTAAAAACCATTGGTTTTCCACATCTGGTTGGTGGTTTGGAACATTTTTTATTTTTCCATATATTGGGAAAAATCATCTCAATTGACTTTCATATTTTTCAGAGGGGTAGGTCAACCACCAACCAGCACATCGATGTTAGTTTACCCCAGGGTCAATGCTTAAAATGACGACAGTTGTGGGCCAAACATGCGACCCCAGCCAGTGGCGACGGCTTCGCCGTTGTCCCGACGTCCTGAGGTGGGGGAGAAGACTTCGGGGGAGATCCATTGCCCGGAGACCAAGATGTAGTAAATGTTACCCTCTGGTTATTTAACAGTTCGCCATCGTATAGATGGCCCATAGAAATAGGTGATTTTCCCAGCTATAAACATCCATTTATTTACGGGTTTTTCCGTGGCGAACTGTTAGTCATAACCAGAGGGTAATAGAATCATGTGAACGATGAAGTAAGCTAGAAGTACTTCGAAGGTCAATTTGTTGAATCATGGACAATTTGGTATATGTTTGACATTAATTAAAATGCTGGTTTTAACCACTATTAGTGTATTATGGTCATTGACGGTCAATTGTTGTTGTTTCAATAAAGAGCATGGCAAGACCCGGTAACACTGCCATTTCTTCTCATTGCTATAATCTTGGTGCAAAATATGAAAAATGACCATATATTCCCACAAGGTCAAGTCCCCAAACAATAGCTAAGCTGGATCACTCGACTCCAAGAACTAGGGTTTATGGTAATTTTCGAAGGCTTGATAAACCAACAAAACATTTCACTGGGGGGGCCAGCTTCCATATCTCCAGAGTGTTTTCATTGTCCGGCCCTTGCTAGGTATGGTGCTGCCAAGCATTGCATTTGCGCCGATCCCGCATAGCCCGCATCACGCCCAGCGAGGGCAGGTCGTGCTAAAACACTGCGCGATGTGCAAAAATGGCGACGCGGAAAAAGGTGTGGGTGGGACTAGTCCAGATCAATTTGTCCCTGGTTGGTGGTCTGTTTTTGTTTTTCTTTTCCCCAATAGTTGGGACTATGATCCAATCTGACTTTCATATTTTGCAGGGGGTTGAAACCACCAATTAGGTCCAAACATGTGGTGTACCATAGTGTACCAGGTATACCGTTATATCCCGGAATAGTACTGTGAAAATCTATGAGGATACTTTGGAATCGTGAGTGCACCTCTTTCGGTCAAACCCAGAGGAATCTAGTATTTTGACGGTTGATTCTCCAATTTAGACAAATTTATTGGTCAGTGGGTCAAATCTGAACCATCCAAATCTAGGTTTTTC